ATGAAGACGGGCATACGCCATACAGTGTGCTATGAGGGAAATATTGCCCGGGCAGCGGCACTATCGCCTACTCTTATATCGAATTCCAACTGCCAAGCAATCTTTTACGTGCATTCCAAGGTATACACGGAACCTCGGTTTTTCGTCTCATCCGAAAGACTACTTTTCTGAAGAGTTCGCTTAAAGCACTGGAAATCACTAGTGACTTGTTGTACATGATGAATATGCAAATCTGCCTCATATTTGACAGATATGAATGAAATGGAGTTTAAGGTCCCACCTTTCTGTACTGACTGGGCTAATTAAGACGGGCGTACATCGTACAGTGTGCTATAACCAAAATTTTACCCAGACAGTGGCACTACTGCCTTCTCTTATTTAGAACACAACAGTTCACGGATTCTTTTACGTGCACGTCAATATGTACACGGAACATAGCTGTATTTATCACTTATTGGTTTCCTTATATAACGTTGTCTGTCACGTTCGGGCATTACAGTTTGCTTTGAAGTCTATCCCAGATACATTATTTTTGTATACTACAGATTTTGAAATTCAAATTCAGACCCACAGATCTCCGAATCCTCTTCGTGATGTGGTTTCTTCGTATTAAAACTAGTCGTTATTCACAAGTCAACAACAGATTCTGTCAGTCTTCAGTGAAAGAAATTCCAATTGTTTGTGACTCGAATATGGAAACAGACTCTAGAATTGTGTTCTTGTAAATCAAACCTCTCTATTTTTCTATTCAGATGCTATGGTGGACGGTACTCGTAGTGAGTTCGATGTTGAGATACAGAATGCGATGTAAGTATAACAATAAATGAAATAACATGAAATGGGGATTAACGTCCTACTGTTCTGCATCGAATGAGCTAAAGAAGGCGGGCATACGCCATCTAGTGTTCTATGAAGGAAATTTTGTCCGGACAGCGGCGCTACGCGGCCTATCTTATTTAGTTTAAGTGCATGCCAATGGGCACCCCCTTCCTCCCATGGGTTTCGGTGAAATTATATGAACATTGGCAGTTGGGTCCTAATTCCCGAAATGACTGCATAATAAATTGACAAAATTATGGATAATTGTAATTCTGACAAAGCGGTGTAATACAAACCGGGAAGGGAAGAACTATAGCTTACATAATGGCTAAACAATATTATTCAAATTTTTGTTATGAAATTGTGGATATTATTAATAGAATATGCACATTATCTACAACACAGCTTCTATTAACTGTCACTATTTGGACATAATTTCTGACCCCCCCCCCCCCAAATAAAAAATCCAAAAACGGGTTTGTCGGTGATTAGTATGATTACTTTCATCAAATTTCAAACAGCCATAATATCAGGGTTTTTTTTGCTTTACATTATTTAAATTTTTTATATGATTTGTAGAATATGCATAACTATAACATATCTTCCTTGTCGGTCAATTTTTGCAATACACTGGGCGATATTGACAAAAAAAATGCTATAGTCAGTGATTAGTGGACCGAAGGTGGAATAGTATTGCCCACACAATCTTGACACTGTGCTGTGTCAAATTTTTGTTTTAAATAGAAACATACTTCTGCATTTTCTATTTTTTTTTGTACAGGGAGAATAAAGCGTTATCAAGAACTAAACGAGGCAGAGACAGCGAAAAATTATTATCAAGAACTAAACGAGGACGATGCTCTATTTTATGGGAAAAGTGTAGTATGTTTCAACATTGTTGTGATCCTTTCGATTGTAATGGCAGAAAGCGGTGGGGCTTCTTCGGTGGAATATGTCGATTATTTTAGATCTGTAGTAAACCACTAAACATAAATAGCTCGTTCCTCAGAGGCTGAAATAGATTGTGACGTTTAGGTGCAGAGTGTTGTCACGTATCAAGCCAGTGTTTAAATTAGCTGTACCCCCGAATAATCTGCTGGTGTTTGAAAAGCTATATCTCCATATTTTATATCTTCCGAGAAAAAAAACCGTAACAATACTTGAAAACTTTGGTAACCACGTTTATCATTGAAAAAAGGCATAAATAACTCAATGAGAGTCCCATTAGCCATTGCGTCAAAATATGTGACGTCATCCTTAGACGGCAAATTGGAACAATATGAACAAAAGGAAAATTATGACAACAATCACACGCAAGGCAATCTTGAAAAACTATATCATTTCCGAAAAATGAAAAGTATGAGATATTGGCAGTTTAGTTATCAGATGAAGTATTCCTTTAAACTGGGAATTATCGTATATAATATTGTATATATTTCAAATATGTATTTATATTCAAACTTATATTTTAAAAGCAGAAACCAGCACTTGTTTATTAATAAAGAGAAACGTATAGTATTGATATAATGTTGAACTATCCAGATTTAGTCGAAAGCCGTTGCTAACAAAAATATAATGTCTTTCAAGAACGTCAAACCGAATGTCCTTTTTGACCTCAAAACAACTATATGCATTGGTCGTTTAGACCGTGTTTTTAATTTCAAATATTATGGAAAACATTGAGTTTTCCACATCTGGGGCGCTGGGCCCCTTTCCACAAAGCACATTCTATTCTATTCCTATACGTAAGTGTAGTTAAATTCATGAAGCGTACGGTGGGCTAACCAAATGTCATATCACAAAGATTAATTCAGACTATAAATGTCAAAGCGTCATCCGGTATGATTAATTTTTGGCTAATTGCAAACATTCGAGATTATTCCATGTGTTTAGCTATTGGATTGTTGCAGAGAATACGATTTTAAAAAATCGACCTTTGAGTGACAATAATTGCTCGATAGAATATCCTGAGTTCGGCAATTGAAAGTTGTTTTAAAATTGAGGTAGGTTTTGTATTTTCATTTGTTCAACTTGAATGACTATTGCCCAGTAGAAATGAATTGTGTTTAGCGCGTTATGACACCACTATTGAAGTGATTCCTCTCTCTCAGCAGAAGTTAGGTTTTCAGGGTAGGGTGGGGGGGGGGGGGGTCTATAAAGAATAAGTAATTTGTGTTTGGTTCCAACTCATAATATATCACACCAATCAAACTTCTAACAGTTCCATGACGATATTTTTAAACATCCGTCAGATGCAATCATTGTATACATCATATATTCAAATAAAATCAGGCTGTCCAACTCTAGTAAAGAAAATGAAATGAAATGGAGTTAAACGTCCTACTGTTCTGCTCTCGGTGTGCTATAAGAACAATTATGCCCGGACAGCGGCACCACGGCCTACTCTTATTACGAATTCCAGCTGTCAAGGGTTCTTTTACGTGCACGTCCCTTCAGAACGACTAGTCGTTGTCCATTTTATTAAAGGACTTTTTACAAAAAGATTAAAGCGGTTTATTGTCCTACTTTCCTGTATCAACCGGGATAATGAAGACGGACATATGCCATGCTGTGTGCTATGACTAAAATTAATTAGCCGTATTTTTACCGCCTATCTGTAGTATTTATAGGTTATTTTCAACGCGTAATACATCAAATATTATTATTTCTTTATCAGATATAAATAAAGAAATATGAAGATTTATATGCTTTTGTTTCTAGTTTTTGTACTGTTTATAACATTTACAGGTACGTGTTATTATTCATGTTTTAAACAATTACCAAGTCACTTATATAATTTAAAGACGAGGTATGTAAGATTTAGATTAAAAAAAACGACCGTTCTAGCTATAATAGTTAAAAATAGATAAGGAAAAATGAATATATTGAAAATTTAATTCAAATTCCATTATTGTGAGTGACGTTATCAGTGTTTGAAGATGTAGATTGTTTATTATCGTAGCAACGGCGCTGGACAAACAATATTATATCTGGAATATCCATATTATCTAGTTTATCCATTTTTTAATTTATATTATCAATTAGCGGTCATGTTTAAATCCATTTAAATCTCGGCCATCCGTTCCTCTAGAGGGTTGATTATTATCTTTTCATGTGAATAATGTCTAAATAATAGTTTATATAACATTTGAAGCTAAAATAAAAACCTGCAATGGGGAGATTTAGCTCTTACATAATGCATCTTTAAATAATTCGTATATTATTCTCACAAACCCATCATCAGCAAAATCTATCTCTTTTGATTAACTGTCAAAAATATATTACCTCGCCTGTCACGATCCTAAAAATATAAACTTTGATTAGAAAGTTGCCAATTATGCAACGCACTTGCAATATGGCGGCATATTAGATCATGGTAGTTTTAAATGGTGGAACAGATGGCCTGATTATACAGTGGGAACATATCTGTAAAGCTAAAGCATAATTATTGGGCTACAATATAACAATTTACGTTGATATATACATAATTTAACATAATCATCAGCATTCCTCAATAAATGTCGCCGAAATGTCGGTTATAAGGACCGACAATAACATGCGCGTAATGTCTTTTTAACATGGCGAGTGACCTATACATACATGCAATGGTATGTATTAATTAATATGTTTGGCTGAACACTGTATACAGTGTTTAACCCTGTACTACGAAAGCCCAGAAGGCTCATTCCAAATTCCAAATTCCAAATGCGAAATTCCAAATTTCAAATTTCAAATTCCAAATTCCAAATTCATGTCTAAAGCAAGACTGACACTTGTACGATTCCGTGGCACGCATTGGCACGACTCGAGTCGTGCCAGTGCGCAAACTAGTCGTAAAGTGGCGTGAAGTGAGCGTAAACCCGTCGTGACTGCGTGCCATGTCGGGACGAGAATTTTGAAATGTTCAAAATTTTGGTCACGACAAAATTTAGCGACCGGGTCGTGAACTATGCGCAAACTGTTCGTGAACTCGTTGGGACGATGCGGGAGGATGCGTGCCAGTGTTCACGACTACTGCGCGACAGTGGCGTTCGCGTCGGTGCAGGTGTCTTATTAGATCTGCCCCCCCCCCCTTATTTTTCACATGTACAGTTTGAGGCGTCTTTTGCCTTTTTACTTCCATCTTAATAGATCCGACAGGTCAGTCTGAGTTTCAAAAATGAAACAACTGTGGATGCAGCTCATGGAGCTACTACCATTCTTTCTTGCCAAGGGACAGCACCAGCAGGGGACATGTTGTAATGTGACAGGTAGTCTCGCTGATCCTTTGCATCCTTCTGGGTTTGATGGCCGGTTAGAGGCAGCACCCCCTGCAGGTGTCGGTCACTCCTCCATCCACCAGGGATCAGATCATGTGTGTCCGGATCTTCGTGTGGGTATCTAATGAGGATGAGGTTGTGCAGGGCACAGACGTACATGCTGATCAGGTTGATAGTGTCGGGGTGCTGATGCATCGTCGTCAAGAAGCAACAGAACCTTTGAGACAAAATTCCAAAGGAATTCTCCACGACACGTCGGGCACGAGACAACCTGTAGCTGTAAATGCGTTCTCGTAGGACCTGTGACCGATGGGAGAATGGTTTCATCATCCAGGTTCGGAGAGCAAAGGCGTCATCCCCTACGAAGTGATAGGGCACTGGCTGGTCATCATTAGGGAGTGGTTCTGGTTGAGGCACTCCAGCTCTGTTCTCTTCTACAGCATCAAGCACGGAACAGTTACTCCATGTTCCTCCATCCGACGCACCACCCTCTGCCCCAACATCCACATAGAGGAACTTGTAGGTAGCATCGGTCACTGCCATCAGAACAATGCTGTGGAAGCCCTTGTAGTTGTAGTAGTAAGAGCCAGCATTGGGTGGCTTCTTCATGGCGATGTGCTTGCCGTCCACAGCCCCCAGACAGTTGTGGTAGTTCCATCTGGAGCTGAACCTGGCAGTAACTTCTTTCCACTCCTCTTCAGTTTTGGGGCAGCGTAGCACCTCGTCCTTGTAGACCGCGATTATGGCTTTACACACCTCGGGTATGAACTTGCAGATGGTACTTGCAACAACACTGAAGCTGTACTGCAGATTTGGATAGGAATTTCCAGTGGCTAGGAAGCGGAGGGTGACAGCTAGCTTGAGTCCAACTTGAAGCGGTTCCTTCATGAAGGTGGACTGCTTCTGGAGGCGAGGGGTTAACTTCTCAACCATCTCTTGGAACAGGTCAGGTGTGATTCTGAGGTAATTTTTGTAGCCCCTTTGATCTTCCTTGTGGAGTTCAGTCAGTAAACTGTCCAAACTCTTGCCTTCTGGTCAACCATTCCCTGGCCCACACTTTCCTTTGTGCCTTTTCTTGCTCTTCTGCCTCTTCCAGCCTTTTCTGCTGCTCTTGAACAATGGCTAGAGCAGCTGCCAGGTATAGACCTCTTCTCTTCCCTGCAATGATTGTGTCTCTGACAGCCAATCCAAAAATGACCAGGGGTTGGGGATGCCCCCTTTTTATATGGCGTGCCCAAGTCGGCACGACACCGTCCGAATTGCGCAAACTCGTCGTGCCAATGCGGGAAGTACGTAAACAATGCGCAAACTATGCGTGAACTCGTCGTGCCAGTTCGTGTCAATGTGGGCACTGATGGGCACGCATTCGTGAACTCGTCGTGAACTCGTCGTGAACTATGCGTGAACTAGTGGTGAACAGTGCGGGAGCCTCCCAGTTCGTGCCCCAAAATGGCACGAATTGCCACGACAAAATCGTGGCCAAAAGTCGTGCAAGTGTCAGTCTGGCTTTACCAATCAAATGAATAAAATAGCAAATTGGCAGCCCCCCTCAATTAAACAAATTAGAATTTAAATTTTGGTTTGAATATTTGTGACACAGTGCCTTTAATGTTTTCTTTAATTACTGGCCTTATAAAGGTTGACGGTTACGGAAGATTCGAGGCTTTACATTACGTCATAGCGTGCACGCTTAATCGCCATTTTTCTCAGAAGTCGGAACAGCGTCACTCATACTTTATTATATGAATTAATAGTTTTATGGTCGTATATTCAAGTTGTTAAGAAACTGCACATAGACCAATTCTTCAGGTACATTTATGAATCTTTTGTTGAAAGTTTTATATCGTTTGAAGTACTACATGTATTTGTGTCATGTTTTTGTAGAAAACAGCCGATCGATGTCAGCATGAAGTTGACCTTTAACCTACACGTAGCCTATATCACTTTCTAAGCTACGGAGACCATAGAAATTACCTTGTGCTTTGTCAATTTTATTTGATATTATTATAGTGTTTAATATTGTTCATTTGTACAATCGCTTACGTCAAATAGTTAGTTGATTATAGTCCCATGTTTAAATTAGTTTAATGAATATGAACAGTCATAGACGTTACTATTCTGAGATTGTTTGTCACATAGCCTACATTCGTGGAAACGTATTGAATATTGTGTTTTATTTTATACTTTCAGAAATATTATTACTGTTAGCGTTCTTATGCGTATATGAAAATATATGTATGTCATATATTCCTGAACAAGTCTTTGTGTTTGTTTTTAATCCCTACAATTGATGGGTTCGCATCAGATTTGAAATTGCAAATTCAAATGCGAAATTGCAAATTTCAAATGCGAAATTGCTAATTCCAAAGACCTTAAACTCTGTGTATCAATCTGAAGTCAATCAGATATTAACTTTTGCCTTAAACACTGTGTATAAATTTATTTAAATTCTAATTTGTTTAATTGAGGGGGGCTGCCAATTTGCTATTTTATTGGTAAGACATGAATTTTGAATTTTGAATGAGCCTTCTGGGTTTTCGTACTGTAATAAACAAGACTCATATGAATTAAAGGAGGTTTTCAAAACTTGGTCCATTTCGGCTGCCCACAGCAAAGAAATCTGATTGCCGTTCCACTGAACTGAATGCACCAATGTGGTTTACGTGGCAGGACATGTCAATATTTTCTAGAAAACCTAAGAGCTGTATTGTTTTGACATAAATTTAAATTTGTAAAAATTCGATATATTATTGTTAGTAGAATTATATTAATTTTTTAATTTAGATACTAAAAAAGACAAAATTGAGAAAGTACTTGTCGTTGGCAAACAAACGTCGATGTAAGTACAAACCTTTTTTTTAAAAGATAATAAAAACCCAAACCCATAAAGTTCTTCATTGCCTGCTGAAAATAGTGTGTCGAGAGACTGATGGAACATCAATGCCCCACCAAGAAAATAAGTTACACATGATCTCTAGTATAGGAAAGTTTCAACGACTTCAGCAAAATCATGAATGAAATTGTTAATAACCTGATTTTTCCACAGCCATGGTGCTGTATTCTCCTTAAAATCTTTGGTTACAAAGGTGGCTTTTTGATTGGGGAGATATGCCAGAATTCACTAAATCACGTCTGATTTTTTCAAGCCTTCCTCGTCCACCGGGGTTCGAAGGCCCCCCACCCCAATAATTCCGTGGCGGATTAAGCACAAACGACTGGCATGGTCATTGCCCTTTAATTTGTAACTATAATGGAATTACTAAAGTGTCCTAAGTTTAATCTAAACACGATCTCCAAGAACATTTCCTTTAATTCGTTTCACCATCTTTTGTATAGGGGCCATGTTGACTCTGTGAGTAAGACGCTGGCTCGCTAACCTGGAGGTTCCGTGTTCGATCTCTGCGTTAGCCTAGAACGTTCATCGTGATTTTCCGGCGTGGTTCCTCCTTGTTAGTGATGTAGGACGGAGGGCCTGGTAAGGGACAACGTACAGTCGTTCGATGGGACGAAAAGCCGGGGTCCCATGTACACATTGGCGTGCACGTAAAAGAACCCTTGACAGTTGTAATTCCATATAAGAGTGGGCCGTAGTGCCGCTGTCCGGGCAAAATTTCCCTCATAACACACTGCATGGCGTATCCCCATTTTCATTACCCCAGTCGGGGCAGAGCCGCAGGATATTAAACCCCATTTTATTTCAATTCATTTTCCATCTTTTGTACAGAGACAATAAAGTATTATTCAGAAGTAAGCGAGGTAGAGACAATAAACAATTATCGAAAACCAAGCGAGGATGTTCTGTACTATGGGAAGAATGTAATTTGTTTCAACAGTGTTGTGGTGGTTATAGATGTGATGGCAGAAAGCGATACCGGGGATTTTTTGGTGGCAGATGTCAACTTTATTAAGCCTATAGACACGTTTTAAAAGACTGGCGGTTAAATGTTGGAAATGGAAAAGTGTCCACTAAACCACATGCGAGAAGGACACTAATTATATACAATATACACAATCAAGTGTTTCGTCGGTTTCGCGTTAAAGGGCCATTTTGAATTTGATTTCTAAAGTGGGTCTAGATCGGTTTTAAGTCACAGCCTAAACTATCGACATACATCAATTGAGAACCAGTTTAACTATTTAAGCATGCAGGGACAGAGATTCTTTTTGTATATCGTTATAGAGGGTTTACCACACACTTTAATGTGCTTTTCAGTACTACACATGGACGTCACACATGATGGGGTCCGGGGGGGGGGGGGGCGACCCCCCAATTGTTTTTCTGGGGCGGGGGGGGGGGGGCTGAATATACTTGACACCCCAAAAATATACATAGTAGGCCCTAACTCCTTTTTATTTACAACAATTATTAGGATTTGTTAAGATTCTATCTGTATGAAACCCGTACATATCCCAATATGCATACGCCCCCCCCCCCCCCCCTGACTTAAACATGATAAACATTGTATTGGTGTGATGTTTTAGTTTTAACCCCGTAAAATATTCCAAAACAGTGTTTACAGAAGACTGAAACTTTAATTTTTTTTCTTTATGGGAGTGCCCCCCCCCCCCCCAGTGGGAGGGTGACCCTCACACACTCTCCCTATCGCGCTACATCGGCCTCACAGATTGTCAACATTTTATATAATTTCATTTGCGGACCCCCCCCCCCCCCCAATAGATATTTCACGGCTACGCCTCTTGTGTTACATCGTTATAAAGGGTTTACCACACACTTTTTAGATTGTTTTTTTGTATGTAGAGGGTTTCACCACACACACACTTTGATATTTTCAATTTGCTGTGTTTTTCTGTGTATATCGTTATAAAGGGTTTTACCACATACTTTGATATTTATAATTTGCTGTGTTCTTGTATATCGTTATAAAGGGTTTTACTATAAACTTTGATGTTTATAAATTGTTGTGTTTTCTGTGTTGTTGTTGATGAGTAGGGCTGCACTCACTACTGTAAACGGGATTCCGCTTAAAGATGCATTATGTAAACATTAGATATAAGGCTGGTCGTTCTTGTTATAATAGTTCAAATATACGATAATGGAAAATTAATATACTGAAAATTTCAGTAAAATTACTTTATTCCGTGCAAAGTTATGAGTGCTTGAAGATTTGACAAAGTACAGCGTGGATCATTTATTGTCGTAGCAACGGTACTTGACAATCGATGGAGACTAAGTCTCTGTTATCTATTTTATCGTTAATAAACTCTTAAATAACCTCGCTATTCCACTATACTAAAATCAGAGCCATCAGATGGCCAGAGAGTTGAGTATGGGCTTGTCATGTTAATAAATGTTTAAATAATAATGTGCATACATGTAAAATTGGAAACCAGAAATAAGACCTGCAATAGGAAACTTTAAGGCCTGAATCCCTGTGACATTCACGTCATTCCTGAGATGTGTTAAAGGGCAAAAATGCGACAGGTTTCAATGATCCCCGTACCAACACCCCCCCCCCCCCCACCCAAACACACGCGCACACACACACACACACACTCGCCCTCACCCGCCACAATTTTCTTCATCTAGCCAGAGACAGCTCGGGGAAAGTACTTTTATTGGCGAAATAAAATACCATGTCCACGAACCCATTCTTACAAATTAATAGTTTCTCTCACGGAGAGTTTCTATAATACATCATCTCATCTATAGTGTTTTAATTTATCTCGAATGTTCTTTTATTGTCGTGGGTGGGGTGATGGGGGCCGGTGATGTGGGGCGTGGTGGTGGGTAGGGTAACCATGGGCTATAGTTTTATTGTCGGGGGTGGGGCGCGTAGTTGAACCATATGTATTTTTGTTGCCGACCAAAAGGAGGGAAAGAAACGATGAGGGAAACTGTGCTCGGACAGCGGCACTACGGCCTACTCTTATTTCGAATTCCAACAGTCAAGGATTCTTTTGCGTGCACGTCAATGTATACCACACCGGAAAAAATCCGATGAACTTTCTCGGCCAAGACCGGGTTCGAAGACGGGACCTCCAGGTTAGCGAGCCAACATCTTACTCACTAAACCATCACGGCTCTCCTAATAGACCTTGGACAATTATTAATTAAACAACATATGAGATTAACCCATTTTATATTGTCACTAGAACCAAATGTCGCATCGGGATTGTACAGCCCATTTGAGTTGATATACGGTTGTTGTCTATTGCTTGCAATGTCTATGTGATCTGTATCTAATGGTTTTGTTTGTGTGTAGTGCGGTCCTCCTGTAGTTATACTAAAGTATTTATTTCCTTGCTCTACGTTATGTTTAGATTGTCATGGCGTTGATTTTAACCTAATTGCAGCTACTTCTCAAATTTCTTCCGTTTCTTAGAACAAGCGGAAGAAAGGGGTCAATGGGATATATATAATCAACACTCTGGCAACATTGACGCGTAGTCTTATGGAGTTTGGAAAACTATCAAAGCAGTGAATGAGAAGGAAAGAAATGAGATATAATGGCTTACTATTTTATAGCAAAGAAGCTAATATACAAGCCCATGAATTCCGCTATGAGGAGAATTTTGCCATAACACCAGCTGCGTTTTCGGCAACTCTTCGCGGTTCTGTCAAGGATTGGTTTGCGTTCACGCCAGCGTGTACACCAAACCACCCAAGCAACTGGTCGTATATATTTTACTTGCCATTTTTGATTAACACCGGGACGAACCCGCGACCTCGTGGTTAATGAGCTAGCCGAGTCGGACTTCACTTATAATTATATTTTACTAGCAAATTATTGTTTTCCAATATTCAACCAGGGCAGTATACTTTTACTTCTAGTTGGGATTCCAACGGATGGGTGTAGCAGCAAGGTTTTTGTGTTGCGCGATTGATTACATAGACAAACCCCAACCTATTTTGAGGTAGACATGGTCCACTGAACACTCGACTAAATCCAGCTGATTTACCCGTGTACATAATGGGGTAGAGGTAAAATAATCTCTGAATTCGAAGTACAGTAGACACAATCGTCGTTTTTCGGACATAATTGTCCTCACGCAGAGAGAGAAATGAGGGTTAACGTCCACTCGACACAAACTAGGTCATTGGAGACTAACATATGGTTCAGTTGTATTTCCACAATTCGAATGCACTTATGCTTGGAAACTGGAGGATCCTGAAAAACTCACGAGGTTAGATAGGCGACCCTACTCATTGTCACGTGCATGCTTGCAATCAAAAAAAACCCGCCACCTTACTCAATGATAGACCTTATGATCTAAGGCACACGCGTTAGACAATTCGGTCACCCAACCCTATTCTCCCAACAGCGCACGTGCCATACTCAAAACAATAACTGTTTCGTTAGTCTCAAAATGATGCTAGTTTAGACGCGTACGTACCATTGACAATGAGCTGAAACAACCATCAAATGTTGCCGAGTCTTACTTAATTGTTTGTTCTCAATATCAAGTTTCCTAAAGATTTTATGAGCCTAAAAGTGAAAGTATTTAGGTAGAAGATTTGAAATTAAAAGTTTAAAATATTACAGATCGTACAAGATGAAGTTCGTGCTATTGTTGATTGTCGTTACTACTTTTTACTTTTCATTTGCAGGTTAGTCAATTTACAAAATACTTTTTTCAAGGGAAGGTCTTGGGCGTCAAATAAAAGGTGGTATCATCTGTTCTAAAAAGGCATACCCTGCACCACTCCTAGATATACTTATACATAGCTAAATAGAGCTATATATAGTTTGGATCTGGATCTAAGACTGCTGAAATTGGCCCATGTGTGTATGTGTGTTTTCCTTTGTCTACTATCCATCTTACCGTGTTGAAGTTAAGATCGGAAGGTCTGGCTATAAGTCAAATGTTTGTGGTTTTCGATCCCAGGATTGAACTTGACGGGGAATAGGGACGCATGCCCAACCTCGTGGGTATTCTCAGATTTTCATCAAGCGTCCGCGCTAAGTCTAGTTTGACTACCGATCAGCGATTTTGTAAAGATCGATCTTGTCTGTCAATGAGGCGTTCTTGTGTCATTACTGGACACCTACAGTTTTACTAATTTGAGCTTTGAAAAACTGGAGCGAATTGTGATGTCGATCAAAGCAATCATGTATATTCATACATAATATATTAAATTTTTCCTTCCATGTGACATATTTTGTTTACCTCATTAATTCATTAATCGCGGATGCATAATTTTGCGACCGACTGCACTATTTTGCAACCATTTGTTTTCCTGGGGGGTGGGGGTGTACATTTACGCTCCTGACTAAACCACATTTTATTTCATTTCATTACAGATGCTGAACCTGTTCATGACACAGCGGCACGTAATGCTATGTGAGTACATATTATTTTTTCTTACGACACTCGTCTTACCTAAACCGCATAAGTTGACATTTTTCTTCTGCGGGAGTCATCTAAATGTAGATTGTAATTTCGTCAAGGTTGCCGATATGTAAATTGGTTTGGGGCACGTGGTTGTTGACGAGGGTTAGGGTGACCGTAAGAAATAGATCTAACCACTGTAATACAGCGACTTAATCGCACCAACCACAACACTCTTAACAATTTGGGAAACTATAATTAACGAAGCATCATCGCTAGTGTCGTGATAATTCCCAAAAATGAAAAAGCCCCAAAATAAAAATACATGTAATATGTGAATGATATTGAATTCTGTGGGAAATATATAACGAAGCGACATCGCTAGTTTTGATAATTCCCCCCCCCCCCCAAAAAAAAAAAAAAAATCCCCAAAATAAAATCTAGCCTTCCTGTACAATTTTTGAAATCCTTGATTAGACCGAGAAGAAACTACGGTGATTTTCCTGTTTACCCCCTTTTCAGTGGTTCAGGACTGGGATGGGAGGAAAACCGAGGCTTACCCATGTACTCGTTGGTATGCACGTAAAGTAACAATCTGTTTCACATAGGTATTGTGAAAGTCTTTTTTATACGTCCACAAGGAAATGTGATCGTATATTGCCGGCGCCCCGTCCGTCCGTCGTCCACACTTTCTTGTGAGCACTCTGCTGACTACGGGTCTCTTTTTATTGTTTTGAAATTGATAAGTTGTTGACATTACTGAGATGAAGAATCCTATTTAATTCAAATATTTTCGTTCATGTCTTCTGGAGTTATTGCACTTGTTTTACTTTATTGCAACTTGTGAACGCTCTAACAACAGAAAATATCATCCGATCTTAAACCTTGTGAACGTTCGAACAACAAAAATTATCATCTGATCTGTATGAAATTTATATGCATCACTTAAATTGGTGAAAGAATCCTATTGAATTTCCGTTAATTAGTTCTAGTTAATTATGGCCCTTGTTTCACTTTGTTGAACCTTGTGAATGTTCCAACGACAAAAGTTATCGTCCGATCTGTATGAAATTTATTCAAATAAACACGTCTACAGTTATGGCCTTTCACTATGTTGAACACTGTGAATGCTCTAAAGACAAAAGTTATCATTCGATAGATATGAAATTGATATCGGTGTCTTGTAAATTCTCATTACCTACAAAACAAAAACATAAAAAAAGAAATATGCGACAACCCATGTCGACAGTCAGACGATTTAGCGGCTGCAGGCGTATGTTTCGTTGCCTGGCAACCATTATTTTCCAAACTCCTCAATCTCTGAATTATTTGACAGCATTGTTTATTAATATACAATGAAATTTGCCTTTATAATTGATATTTTCAAAGCAAACATCTTTACAGAAGAATGGCCATGCGGCGTTTTGGAAGAAAAGTCTCCTATACAATTCTGTTAAAACCCATTAGATTTTATTTCATTTCCAATACAATTTTTAGAATTACACTTGTGTAAAAAGTAGTTCGAAGAAATGTAGTCGTTTAAGGTTATATTAAGTCCGGGTCTGTATACGGATGTAAAGTTTAAGGTTACTGGGTTTTTTAAACATTGAGTTTCAACAACGACGACAGCCGAATGAAATCAACGATGTCGGTCAAGTAAAATAAGCAAATGTTAACATAATTATCACAAAGAAAATGAAAAGAAAATTTAGAACAGTACAAAAAATAGTGTGTGAAATAGTGGGTAAATGGAATATGATCCCGTAAAGCGGCTGTAGCATTGGCAGTGCATATAATAAAACTAACATGCTAACACACTTGAAACTATAGAAAAACATGTAAAGAAATGGAACCGAGTTTAACATAAATTTACGTAAAGGGATGTAATGAGGTTTACTGTCTCATCCAGGCAATATTTTGAGACTAACACACTGCTATATTTTTTATAATCACCAATACAAGTTTAGGGAGCAGAATTCAAGTTGTCAGTGGTTATTTTACGTGCAAGCCAATTGGTGCACGGGTGGACCTCGATTTATTTCAACACAAGTTTCAGAAATTTCAACACAAGTATTGTGTAGATTTTTACACAAGTTCCAACACAAGTTTGTGTTGTTTGACAAATTTTAACACAAGTTTTGTGTTGTTTCAACACAAGTTTGTGTTGTTAAATAGAGACACCTTACTTGTGTTGAAAACAAGTTGTTTCAAAACAAGTTTTTTTTCAGTGTGGTCACCATTTTCGTTGTTATCGCTGAATTCAGGCGGCATAATGGAATGCCAAGGGATGGAACCTTGTTCTCGGCCTTGGTGTCCCTATACCGCTCGAATTCGGTCATTTTGTTTAATTCAAGTCACGTGCAGTGCTAGGGAGAAACCTTTGGAGACGAGTTCCGGTCTTGTCAATGGATTTGTTACGTGGTACCAATTTATGTATGGGATCTTACATTTTCGTCACGTCCAAACGACTGGTCACAATTTTCTTGTAATTGTGTTATTTATTTTTTTCACAGAGACAGTGAGAAGATAGAAAGACCTAAACGATTTTTACATATGATTTATGGTCGTTGTGCCATTATTGGTGAAAAATGTAGCCTTGTTCAACATTGCTGTGATCCTTTTGATTGTAATGGTCGAAACAGATGGGGGTTTTTTGGTGCAAAATGTAAACTTTTCTAAGTAACATGACGTCTACCATTTTGAAATTACTACAAACACAACGTGTAATAACAAAACAAATGTTATAGAAGTTTTCTGTCTAGATTTAATATACAAGACAAAAAAGAGAATTTGTAAATCAGTAAGAAAACTTGTTCAATAATGACATACCTTAATTTACATTGTATTGCTTATTTGTATATTATCTGATAAATAAAAACGTTACAGTCAATAAACATTTATATAGACATGTATTAGGCCACACAAAATAAATGTCTTGTTTCTCGGGCAACTGACAGCTGAAACTGTAGGGAGGGAGGGCGGTTTCTTTTTTTTTTTTACTCATTGATGGTGCAAAATAAAATTTGGCTATTGCTGAAAATTGTTGGGGCGGGAGGGCGGTCTTTCTTTTTTTTTTTTTTTAAATGAGAAAGTCATTACTTGTTTACGTTTTTGCTTTCCGTTATATTCAACTTTATTGTACATACTTAAAACATAAACCCAAAATCAAGTCTACTAAAACACTGAGACTGAACACTGACTGAAAGGAAAATAATTTTCCATATTTAATTCACATAATTGAAATTGGTTTAAAATAAAATTCCATACGACTATGTAATAGCCCTCCATAAAGACAACAATATTTTTAAAAACTAAGCCTCTTTCACCAGGTGTATCAAAAATAATAATCATGGTAAACAGTATTTAAAACTAAATCTAGTATCGCCGGTTTATTTATAATTATTTACCGAATTCCAACCAATGCATGTCACACCGTGTCATCGGTTTTGAGATTGCCGGAAATACTGTTTCTTGGGATATTCGGTGTGTTTCTCAGGATATTCGGTGTTCTATTCGGTGTTTATATTGAATCACTATTTAAATCTAACTAACAACTGGTCAGTAAAACCATCAAATCGGTAATCCAATTATTATTTTCCGGATTATCGAAACTACCGTAAATGTGCTAATAATGACCCAGATTCTAAGGTATGCATTATGACGACTATCGTCATCGTATCGTATTCTTAGCTATAATTAATTAACCTGTTCTACGGTTCATTATTTTATCAATAGGATTTTCCAAACAAGGACCGACTGAAGCCGGCAATAATGGGCCGATTACGATCGAATGATTGAAATATTGTCGCCAATGACTTTTAACACGAATCAAATTCTAGTTTATCAGGGGAGGTAATTAATATCACGTGATACAAAATGGAGGTTCTTTCGATATCAATAAAAAAGGCAAATCTGCCAAACTTCGCCATTGTTCGGATAAAAAAGACAGCATGTTCATCTGAATCAGTTTTAATACATTTGAATAGATATACATGTATGGCGGATGTAGGTACATGCGGGATATTTTTTTTACGACTTGCTTGTCGATGTGCGGGTGGGCGTTACATATTTATTTTTTTTCATCAAGACTAATAAATAGACTGCACGCGCAACCAATTTTGCGTGCGGGCGGTGCCCGAGAAACAAGTTATTTTATTTGTGTTGCCTTAAGTTACTGTTATATGCATACATATTTTAATGTAGGTTTATTGTCGTTCCCCTTAATTATCTGTAGTCTTGTTGTCAATAGAATTGTGTTTTGTGTATTTCATATTCCATTATTAAATCCAATTGAAACAAATCAAATAAGAAAATAAACAACAAATACAATAGAAAATCAAAGGTTTATATTCGCTGTTCCTAGGTGCCACATGGCATCAGGGAATCAAATAGATAAAAAATTGTCTCTGATGCTGGGTTAGTGCTTATGTTCAAGGCCCGGACAGCGGCACAATGACCTATTCTTATATCGAATTTCAACTGCCAAGGGATCTTTTACGTGCATGCCAATTTATACATGGGGCACTGATTTTCGTCCCATCTGAATGACTAGATTGCTGTCCTTGTCAGGTCCTCCTTCCTGCAAAATTGATAAGGGGAAAAACTATGTCAGAAATTTCAGTGAGGTGTATGGAAGAACTCTTTCCAGTTTTTAAAGTTTTGCACCATATATTTCAAATGTATTTTGCGAACTAATCATTCTGTTCACACTTTGATAGGTGTTTATTATTAAAACCTTGCACTGTGGAATTTTCTGATCATGATTGCTACAGGGTGAGTGTATTGGGTGGAGGGGACTTGTTTGGTTTCCAGTAAGTAAAGCTACTTCATTTGTGTTTTATCACAAAATCATATAAATAAGCTGAACACTTTGTTTATAAAAATAAATATAATATATATAATTGTTACATTTTAGTATGTACATGATTTTTGGAGCAATATTGTCCACTGAAAATGTGTTTAAAATATTCTTTAGGTTGTTCTATAATTGCAATATACTGCCTCTGATATCCCTTCTCTGGTCAACAATACAAGGATATTAGTTTTGTGTGTCTATGTAGACAGGTTTTCCATCATGGAATTTGCTTGTTTTAATTCTGAAAAAAAAAAAGTCATGTGAAATTTCAAACAAAGTATTTAAAACCTTAAAGTATAAACTACAGCTTTTATAAACAAAGAGAATGGCTTCTCAGGTCCCCTAATATGCCCATGAGTGGAGAGTTTTTCCATGTTAATAAAACCCCTCGGGTATGGTTTTAAAATATCCAACCATATTTTTAAAAATTCTGTTATGAACTCTGTATCCCATTCAGAAGTATTAAGAATCAAAATGTAATCATGGAGATTACTCTGTAGATTACAATTCTGGATTTTGATACTGACAATAGACAATCTCTCTTAAAAGTATGAATAAAAAATAAATCCTAGTCCAAATGAAATGAAATGTGATTTAGGATCCTACTTTTCTGCATCGACAGGGCTAATGAAGATGGGCATACAATAAAGTGTGCTATTAGAGAAAAGGGTTCTTTTATGTGCACGGCAATGTGCATACATGAACTCGACTCGGTTTTTGTCCCATTCGAAATGAATAAACGCTGTCCTTGCCAGGCACTCCTTCCTGCACCACTGACAAACCAATACCCAGATGGTACCCTGAACCCCCTGATTAGTGAGTCAGCGCCTTATTCACTGAGCCACCACAGCCTCCAAAATCCCAGTGCATATCTAACCAGGGAGAAATCTTAGCAATTTACCATTAAAATATTTTAATATTTCACATATTCCACCATGTTTTTATACGCCCACATTTTCATGTGGACGTATATTGTCGTAGCCCCTGTCCGTCCGTCCACAATTGTTTGTAAACACTCTACAGGTCACAATTTTTATCCGATTTCAATGAAACTTGAAATATAGGTTTATCACCCCAAGATCTCGGTTCCTTTTGATATTGGCATGTATCGGACTGTAACTTCATGCATTATTGCCCCTGATTGTACGCAAATAGTGTAAAAATATGTTATATCAAGGTTGTGGATCCTCTAAGAGGCCACAGTTTTTATCCAATTTGGATGAAACTTCCTGGATATAGCCCCTGATTGGTCAAAAAATTGCATTTTTAGCTTGTGGATTCTCTAAGAGGTCACAATTTTTTTTCCGATTTTAAAAACCGTTTAGATATATCACCATTCCACCATAATGATGGTTGAATTGGAATTTCGGAAAAAATTGAAATGAAACTGCCTGACAATATGGCTGTTGTTTGTATGCAAATTGTGTATAAGTATGTAATACAAAGGTTTTGATGAAACTTAAAACATATCTTTATATTCCAAAAATCTCCGTGCCTTTTGATATTTGCGCATTTCAGACCATAACTTTCTAGATTATGGCCCCTGATTGTACAAAAAATCGTTTTTGTTTTTAGCTTGTTGTCTATCCATCTCTTGCAAAATGTGGGCGTATCCTGCCTGGCAGCCGCTGGTTTAAAACTTCCATCAAGAACATTCTATATATTTCAACTTGCGCAATTTGTGACCAACTAAATTTGAATTTTAACCAATTGTTTGGAAAAAAGTAGGCATACCATTTAATAAAACTCTGAATTTATCTGCTGATACTGTAAAAGAAACTGGTTTTGATTGGTTGGTATCCGGATTTTTGATTGATAATTTCACCTGTACACATGGCTCACTCACATCCTGCAAAATAGATAACAAATTATGAGGACCACAGCTAATTTAGATACATACAACACATATCTCAATGTCTAACTTCTCATACATTATAAACCCTTATACATTGCACGGAGTAGTGTCGCCTGTCCAACCTCTAAGTTTTCTCCCACAGCTAAAGACCCATATTGAAATAAAATTAAACCATGTTTGTCCTGAAAAGACCTAGTTTGTGTCGAGTGGATGTTAACTCCAATCTCCTTCTCTTGTACTTTGCATATGATGTTGATACATCCCAGATTTCTTTTGCCAATTGAAAAATAAAAACAAAAACAAAAAACAACTGATATTGAACATAATCCTTTAGTGGTATTTAGCGATTGGAGACATAACAGAACTAACACAGTTATATGGGAAAACAATCACCGGTTTATTATACACAAGCACAATGTTTCGATAAGTATCCTCTGATATTGAAACATGGACTTAGGACTTGATCAAATAATAATCAAAGGGTAGGCCTACCTTTAATTCACTAGAGCTTAAAATATAATCAACTCTCCATTGTACACTGTCTAGACTTGATACTGAAAATAGAAATACAAATGTAAAAAACAATTAAGGTCTTTGAATTAAAATCACCCTAAAAAGAGTAAAAGATACAGTAGAGCAATATTTATGGATAAAGCAATACAGGATATTTATAGATAAAACAATACAGGATATTTATAGATAAACGATACAGGATATTTATAGATAAAATAATACGGGATATTTATAGATAAAATAATACGGGATATTTATAGATGAAACAATACATGATATTTATAGATAAAGCAGATAAAGCAATACATGCTATTTATAGATAAAGCAATATAGGCTATATATGGATAAAGCAATACAGGATATTTATAGATAAAGCAATACAGGATATTTATGGATAAAGCTATACAACATATTTATGGATAAAGCTATATATATATTCATGAATAAAGCAATATAGGCTGGATAAAGCTATATGGGATATTAATAATTATCTATAAATGTGTTAGTACTTACGCTTTAAGCTCTGTTGACGTAAACATTCTTTTAATTTTTCTAAAGCATCACCATAAGATTTACATAAAGATGTGGAATGTTCTAAAATTAAACATAAGATAACATTAAATCTCAACATGCCTAAATAAAGGTTATAAATAATAACATTTAAGATAAAACAAAGTATAACAAAATATAAGACAAAATTAAAGCTCAAACATGTCAAAATGAAGATTGAATGGATAAAAATACTTTTATTTAAAAACTATCTGGTCCAAAACATATAACAATCGACCAATTCTGATTTAAGTTATGGTCTTTAAGTTAAATTTGATTGATTTCTATTAATTTGACACTACCATCTTTATATGTCTCAGATAAAAAGTAATAATAATTCTGTTGTTTTGTACAAGCCACCCCATTCTTCATGTTGTGGTGATTTAAGCATATTATAAGAGTGACTCAATTTAGTCATCACAACCATTATACATAGCTCTCTAACACTGTGGCAATATTATACAGTAATATACCTGTAATTGGTCGATTACAACGTTGTACAAAAATAAGGAAAATCAACAAAATAAATGTATAATTTAATAGTTTTGCTCTTTGAAGTCAATGATATGTACATCTAGTGATTTTGTTCTGGTAGTGTCTAAAATATCCGATGCAGACAAGAGGTTTAATTTTGTTTGTTTTATTTTGTGAAAGGATCATGTGGCTACAGTACTTATCATCACAAACATCACATCATCTGTTTATTATGCTGTTTACAGACATTAACTTGTATAATTACTCATTCTTGTATTACTTATTTAAACATTCTATTACTGTACACTAAGTGGAATACAGGTTTATTTACAAGAAGTAACTAATAATTGCTGTCTCGTAGTTCTAATATTCCAAACTCCATGGAGTATAATTTCATTTTTATTTTCTCATTTTACTAGTCAGTGGTGCGGGACTGAGTGCCTGACAAGGGACAACGTATAGCCATTCAGATGGGATGAAAAGCCAGGGCCTATGTACACATTGACGTGCACGCAAAGGATCCCTTGCAGTTGGAATTTGATATCAGAGTAAGCCGTAGCGCCACTGTTCCAGCAAAATTTTCCCCTTAGCACACTGTATGCTGTATGCCCATCTTCATTATCCCAGTCAGAGCAGAGCAGTAGGACGTTAAACCCTATTTCATTTCATTTCATTTCATTGCTCATTTTACTAGATGTAATTTGCCGGAATATTATCATCAAGGACAGGATGGCATCAAAAGATCTTAACCAGAATAAATAATGGTTTTATGATAACAATGAGTCAATATATAATTGTCCAATCATCAATACCATTTATAATAATTGTCAATGACATTTATCATTGATATGGTAATTGAGCCTACTGGAATTTTATAATTCCACACAAAATGTTTAATATAGTTACCTCCCTTTACCTTGGGGTGATCATGTAATTAATGATAATTTGGTTTTTTTATATGACTTTACATGAAACTACAGAGTTTATTTACCTTTAGGTAAACCAAGTTGTTGTAGTTCATTAGATAGTGTTTCACCATCAACATTATATTTTGCAGCACTAGTTAATATAAATGATAATACTGCTATACTAGCTTTTACATCACCACTTTCTGAAATTAGAAAAACAAAATATATCAGTAATATTTAATGTTGGATTAATTATCTATTCCATGATTCTACACATACACAAAGATTTAAACATTACTTTTTTAATTAACCTATTAGGTATCAAATCACTACGTCGAAAACTAACCAATCGCCGACTACTGCAGATGTATATTTGCTATCACAAAGTGGCTTTTACAGTAAATAGTGACTATGGAAATGTGAATGAGTGAGTTACTTGCTTGCTATTCAAAGTTTTTCAGACAATTTGCATTGGACACAGAGTGTGAATGAAGGCCTTTGCATTTGCTGCTTAATGTCACCATTGACTTCTACTCTCAAAATTGAAATAAATTAATAGAACCACCCATGATGATTATATCAAGTGAAAACCCTTTTAGTTTTCTAATAAATAAACATAATATATGATTTCCCTACATAATACCTTAGCCTTAAAGATCTATCATGACACAAGGTATTAGTCTGATAACTAAATGCTTATGGAAAAAGTCTCTCGTTTAATTGCAGTAACGAAATGAGTTAATATGGTATGAAGGGATTAAAAACCTTTTATACAAGCCATGTAGGTATCGGTCTGAAGTTATTTTGAAGAATTCTAACAAGTGTATTTAGAAAACTATTGAATAGAGCAATGAACATAAAAGTAAAGTGCAGGGCATCCCACCACACACACTATTACACACGACAGAACTACAGACAGGACACAATATACACAGACACCTCAAATAACAAATGTGAATGGATCTGGGGCCTAGCCATAAGCGTCCACTGCGCTGTACAGTCCCTGAGTTCCGGGCCTGTAGTGATATAGGCTTCACTCAAAATGAAACCAAAGGTGGCAGCAAAGTCAATACTCTGGCAAAATATTTAGTTGATAAGTATGATGCTGACATTAAATTAACAGGTGTATTGAGGCTTATTGATGCAAATGCTGATCCCTTGCTAAAGGTGCTGTTATTTTTCACAAACAGGACATTTTCTAAAATGTAACATACCAAATTTAGCATCTGAGGTCAGCTTATAAACTTTATCATACTGAAACAAAGTAAATCAACAAATAATAAAAATAGGAAATTTTGAAGACCTAATTATGTTTTTAAACACATTTTATCAAAATGTCTGTCCAGAAAGCGTATAAATAGTATTACAGAAATTGATAGATGTATAAACTAACCATCCCAAATTAGTATGAGGTGTTATCAAATGTTCCAGAAAAGGTAAGCATGAGGTATACCTCGAATGCAAACACAATTATAACTAGATCTGCATAGCAGATATCAAAGCTTTCATATAAACTTCAAAAGGGGTTATTAGAATCTATGAATCATCAACCACTCTGACGGATGTAGAAAGGAATATATTGTTACTAAATCTGTTGTACTGTTTCTTGTTATGGTAAAGAAAACATGAATACAACTATGAGATTTGTATAGAATTGGCATTAATCAATATATTTATTGTTTAATACTACATGTATATTATAGATACAAAGTGAATTAAATGAACCCAATTACATGTACTTTATATAAGCAATGTTTTTTTATTCATCGTTACTTTGAAATCACATTATTTTCATTGATGATAAAAAGGTTGTATTTGTACCGAATCCAAAAAGTATGTTGTATGACATTGCATTATCTGTACCAATTATTTATTTGCAAACCAATATACAATGTTTATTTCTACTCCAATATATTTGTTTCAACCCATGATAGTTTATTCACTCTTCTCACTTAAATACAAGAATAACACACGATTAAATTACTGAAACAAGTAATGCTGGTAAATTATAATTTGATATTGTATACCATTTACTCTCTGTTAGATAAGGCGACGTGGTAATCTGTTAGCTAAACATACATGGAAGTATATGTTAGATAACTACAATTTATGATATATTTTAAACCAAGGAAGTGGCCTTTCTAAAAATAAAAAAAAATAAAGGAAAATATATTTCATACAATTGTTATACTGTTACTGTTATCGTGAAGAAACATGATTGTTTATTTAATGTTGTTTATGACAAACATGTAATCATGTACATTTTTTAAATAAGAACAATTATGCTACATGTATGAATAACTCTCAAAAATTATGTTTTCATCAATCCAAGTATTTTTTTATTTGTATTACTTGATTTATACTGAATAAAGATTACACAAACATACAAAATGGTGTTGGCTGTGTGACTGAATTCCTCGTTGAGAAGTGGTATCGGGTGTCCCATAGAGAAGAAGCAAACCCTCCTTGTGATACACTTGTGAACATTTTAAAAGACCCATTTCGCTGTGTTCCAGAAAAATCCCCATTATAGCTAGTGCATTACATGGTTGTTGTTGGGGGAAAGGTGGGTCTTTTCTATTGGCAATGATTTACTTTTTATAGGCCCACATTGAAATGTGGTCGTATATTGTCGTCGCCCCCCTTTTGCTGTTAATATCCGATTGACTTTAAATTTATACGCAGTGTTTAAGGTCATAAGACGAAGAAGCCTTTGATTTGCTCTGCCCAGGCAACGTTCCTGTGCTCCGATTGCCTTCAAATATGCACAGAATGTACCTTGGGATTCTAGCTATCACATATTAAAAATAGAAGAGTGTTGGATTCCGAGAACGTTCAAAATAAATTCAAAACCCGCCCCCAACAATCAAAGGTTTTTTGCTTAAAAAATTGCCGTATTTTATCGAATTTTTATTGTTCTTGATATCTGAGGATTTTTCTCAATTTAGTATGTGATAAATATCATCGCGGCGCAGCCAACCGCTAGAAATTCCAGAGATTTGGACCACCGGAATGATGCCTCAGCAGTCAAAAAAGGTCAAAATAGGCGATTTCGGTTTCTAGTGTCGATACATCGTTACGGTCATTTTAAAAAATTGTCTTTTAAGGATAATGTGTATAGTACCAGTACCTATCACATACGGAAGAGGCGATAAAATCTCTTTGCATTTGCAATTTCAAAATTAATTAAAACCAATATTAAATTCCGAAAATCGTTTTTTTGCTAAAACTTTTTTTTTTTTAATCGGATCAAAATGGGAGTAAGGCACGGAGTCCGGGGTGGTAATGGGCGTATTGTGTCCAAATTTCATGGTTTTCGGACAATCGGTGCCGGTGTCACGGCGAAATTCCACTTTTTTCCCCTCATGGAAGCCGTAAATTGACTTGAAGCCAGGGTCCTTGAAGTTGTACAGCTGCACACGGTGACCGATATTTATTTAACGGGGAATAAGTGATAATTCATATTATAGCAGTAAATAATTAAAATATTTCATAGGGATTATAATAATATCTATATCTTGTCTGGGTACAGGGTTAAAACCAATATTAAATTCCGAAAATCGTTTTTTTGCTAAAACTCTTTTTTTTTAATGGGATCAAAATGGGGGTAAGGCACAGAGTCCGGGGTGGTAATGGACGTATTGTGTCCAAATTTCATGGTTTTCGGACAATCGGTGCCGGTGTCACGGCGAAATTCCACTTTTTTCCCCTCATGGAAGCCGTAAATTGACTTAGAAAAAAAACGACGAAAGGCAGGTGACAAGAACAAACGACTTGAACGAATGAAGGTATCACCTTGAAATTTTCAGGGTACCTAGGTACCAACGTGAAAAGTTGCTCGCCGGAATTTAGTACTCATGGTACCTTTGGTTCCAGCGTAGCGCATGCGCGAAGTCAAATCCAGCTAAACTCGAAAACAACCTTGTCGGCACGGAAAACATCAAAGGAGAAATTCGAATAAAAAATGATACAATGATTTCACACAACAGGCCAGCTATTAGCCTCTCGATTGACAAGAGTTTCATCGCCCTCCATTCATTATAACCAATGTCATCGTGCCCTAAAGAATCAACAAATCAGCTTGCTTATCTCGCTTACCCTAGGCAAAAAATGCTCATCTTTGAACTCAATCATGACATTGACCTAGTGAACGCCTACACCAAGTTTGAACATTCTAGCTTAATTAGAAGGAGAGTTCTTGTGTTCCAAAGTCCCGGCCCTTCAAATTGCTTCTATTTTTCATTTTCAATTCAAAATGGTGACCATCACGTGACCGAAATCAAAATTCTGATCCGATAGATTTTTAGGTATTCCTTCCAGGATTCCGAAAATATGACGACCGAGTCTGTAAGTAAAATAGCAAAAAAGCCTTTTTGATTTTTCACGTTTAAAGATGGTGGCACTTCCGGTTCGATCGACAAACTCCATATTTTGTGTACGAATCAGTAATTACTTGTCTAGTATCGAATTTTTTTTTTAGGTCATTCTGACCTATATTTCGACGATTTTTTTGAAAACTTTGATCCTTAATTTCACCAAGGGGAGATAATTTAGAAAATTTCCAAGGACATCATTGAAGTCGCATTGGCAAGATCTACTAACATTCTAAATTTCACGAAAATCGCACAACTATTAAAGAAGTTGTCAAATTGGTAATAACTTCCGGTTCGAAATGACAGCGACGAATTTTCGAAATGCCAAAATCCGAAATTGCAGATTTGAAGTAAATGTTTCAAGATACTCAAAGAAAAAAGAATTAGTAAAATAGGTCAAATAGTCACAGAGTTACAGCATTGTAGGTCAAATGCATTCCTTCGTAAAATTCGGTGATTTCGGATTCGTAAAACGTTTTGAAAATATATTTAATCAACAGCCACCACCCATTTTTGGGGGGATAGGTAAAAGTTTCAGAACGATCCTATGGTTAGATTCTGAGAAATCCGATTTGTGGACAAAACACAAAAAAAAAATAACAATAATAATCTTAACAGAAACAATAAGCTTTCATATGTAATATGAAAGCTTAATTATTACAAAACACTGAACAAAAAAGCTGTTAGTATTGCTCTTGAAGTTTTGAAAATCAATGGAACAGTTTAACATCTCATCAACACAGTTTTTTTCTTTAGAAACTAACATGGTTAATATTTGCTATGATGATGTGTGTAATGCCAGGAAGAGAATTTTGAATGGCCAGGTGCTTCTTTGTCTCTTTTTAATCATATTACACTGACAAGACTTCTAGTAAAAGCACACCAAAAGGTATTTAGGTCACCCTTGGTTTTTCAATCTCATTAATGACTAGGCAATATTTATATTTGTAAGCCTGTAGGTGCCATTGTCTGACAAGCAAGGAAATGGGCTGAATTGATTGAACCCAGATCATTCTAGAATGTATCTAGTGCCTTGTCACTTTTTGAGCACCTGATGAGGTGTGTAGCCAGGATACTGTGACTTCTACCAGAGTAACTTCTCCTGTAATGAGGGTCATTGGGAGATGAGACGACCCCTGAAAATTTATAGCCAACAATGTTACATGGAGGCTTCAGTATAAATACCTTACTACATGTATATACGTTTATTTGGATCTGACGAATACATGTACACTAACTATTTCAAGACACTACTTCCTGGGATCATAACTTGACTAACAGTTGGTTGGAAATATTTCCTTTACTTACATCTATTACATTTCCAAGGAGATCTTTCAAAACTTGAACACACAATAACTTCATCTTCACAGATGTCTGAAAATTAAATTTTAAAGCTAACACAAATATACATGTAAGGTAATTTAATATTTCATAATTTTGCCACCACAGTGGCTCTACAGCCTGCACTTCTTTCGCTTTTCCAACTTCAAGGGCTCTTTAACATGCTGCCACAGATAAATAGGACCTCAGTTTTTCATTACATTTTAACAACCAGTAGGAAAATCCTGGGGAACTTTATCAGCTAGCATCAAGATCTCCAGACATTGTTTTAACTCTTACACTACCACCAGCTGCTGTGTAATCCCTGAGTTGTTTTGATGCAATGACAGAATTACAACTACTGCTAATTTATTTACGTAACGATGTTTCAATAACAAAAATAAACCCCCAAACCCAGGAGTCAAATTGGACATAACATAGAAATTAACTGAATTAGCCAAAGAGTATGGTAGATTTTATCAACAGTACAAGTAATTATCACATAAATAAGACTTACCATTTTAGCTAAGGTGGCTATCTCAGCTAAAGCCCAATCTGGACAATCCAAATCTCCACAAAATCTAAATCTCTGCAAATGTTGAATAAAAACAAAATAATTAGTTTATGCTATTAGTATTATATTTGTACGAAAATATTTTTTAGAAGCAGACATAATCAAATGGGTACAGCAATACCATTTAGTATTAGATATAATCAAGGTAGTCAAATATCCCTCATGGCTTAAAGGTAGACCGAAGAAAAGGTGTAACACTAATAAACCACATATGGAAACTATATAATAGCTTAGCTATTCATTAACTAATAATAATAATAATTGACTAAAATTACAGCAGACTAATTAAATCTTCAAAATCACTTAAAAATGGCTGTGTTGAATATTTTATGGTAGCCTATGACATCTGTTTTATTGTATTCTAAAGTGCTCATATAGCACACTCCTGGGTCTTAATTCTGAGGCAGCTACATACAGTTGTTATTTTAAAAAGGCTGAATTTGACAAAAATTATCAGCCTCTGAAACTAAAACAGGCACATTTTGAGAGATGTGCATTACTAATCCAATTGTTAGTGGTCAGGATTACTGAATACACATTTTCCTACTGCAGCTTACTGCTTGATAAGGACTAGTTCAGCTCTGAACATAGGTTTCATTACACTCGCCCTGTACGTTCAAGAACCGTACTATTGAATCCTTGTCGAAAAATCTTCGTTTCCCAGTCAATTTTACGGGGCAACTTTTTACTGCTAGTGCTAAACGGTCATGTGTCAGTCTCTGCGAACACCTGAACAATGTAAAGGGACATTTCAGTGAAAATAAGAATTGTTGCATGCTTACCTCGCCAGTGTCAGTATACGCAACATGCTGTTAAAAGTATGGCCCCTTCTGCTAAACGACTTGGTAGACACCATTGAAATCTAAATATAGGCTCACTCACAAATTTACGTAACTCGGCCATACATGTAGCCTATAAGGCGACCCTACTCCTTGTCACGTACAACCGGGGAATCGAAACCACGCCAGTTGACTTAATGACAGACGTTATGATACAACGTGCACATGCTAACCATTCGGCCATCTAACCCTCCCCCCACCCCCCCCGCACCATACTTAAATATTAAAATAAGCAAAACTGTGAATAAATAGTTTTTTATTACATTTCTGCAACATCCAACTAAATCATACAATCCTACGTGACACAGGAATAAATCATATCTGTTAAATCTACAACAATTTCTCATTCAGCTGGTTTTCAATGTATAATATATCGTGAATTAAAATTAGGGATTTTCAAGCCTTCTTACCATTTCTACTTATATCAAAAGAGTTCACACAAATTTCTTTAATTTTTTAGTCTGCTTTAGAAAACCGGAAACGCCCACTACGCTAGAGTTTAAATTCGGAAAATTAGCGAAACGAATTATGTTTGATTGACTTTAATATGAAAAACAAACAGATTAAAGAAACAGCAATGGTTTATTAAAATATTAGAATTTACTGATGAATTAAAATATACAACAAGCTAATTTTTAGTGAAGTTTTTGTGAAAATGTTTTCCTATTAAATGCGGATCTGTAATTATTCTAGCATGCTTCCGGTGTCATGGCAGACGAAAGTTGAATGTCAACAAATTAAACCTGAAAAGTTTATTTACTGTTATAACAATACCCCAACATTGTCAGTTATTCGGTAATAATAGAATTACAAATGAGTGACATCTGCAATTAACTTGGATATAGCTCAAATTCCAGATTTTAGAATGAATGGATGTATGAAAGTTCGTTAGTCCTAGTAGAATTAGAAATGAAATGTGTCTGGCTCAGTGGCTGGCTAGAAATGGTTCCACTACTGATGTCTTCCGTCTGAAGGGCAGTCAAGTCGTCTACAAGCAAAGTCGTCCAAACGAAAAATCTGGTTAAGTCCTCCACACTCGTTGATTGAGTTGTTCACACTCATTGGTTGAGTTGTTCACACTCGTTGGTTGAGTCATCCACATGGCATTGGTTGATGTACACTCGTCCACACGAAATTGGTGGTACTTTTTACCGCCGACCACATGCTTTTTACCGCCGACGTCGTGTAATTACCGCCGACCAAATACTTTTTACCGCCGACCGCATTGTAATGACTTTCAACCGTAATATAATTACCGCCGACCAAATACTTGTTACCGCCAACCAAATGCTTAATGATTCCTTGTTACCGCCGACTATTTTACGGTTGTTTTTTTTTTTATAAAAAAGAATACAACAAGAATGTTATTTTTTATTTGAGGTGTAATCACGTACAAATGTCGAAAAACATTCATATATATTTTAAAGAATATGGAAGGACAAAACTACAATTTAGATATTGAAGGGCAAATATATCAAGATTGTTTCAGCCACTGGTTATAAATAAATAACATTTTAGGCCTATCTTCTATTAGTGTTAGGGTTAGGGTTGTCGACCATATTTATATATAATAAAATCTATATTTTTATCAAACTCTGTGTATTTAACCAAATCTATTTATTTGTCACTAATAATTTAATTAATTTTATATAGTCGGCGGTAACAAGGAATCATTAAGCATTTGGTCGGCGGTAACAAGTATTTGGTCGGCGGTAATTATATTACGATCGAAAGTCATTACAATGCGGTCGGCGGTAAAAAATTATTTGGTCGGCGGTAATTTCACGATGGTCGGCGGTAAAAGTATTGGTCGGCGGTAGTCGGAGGTAAAAAGTACCACCCACACGAAATAATTTAATTTCGGGATATAGAAATACGTTGGTTAAGTCATCCACATGACATTGTGTAATATTAGGAACACAGGATGTATTCATAGTCAGTATAATTAGTGTACTGAGTGTTGCTTTATCATCATACCCACTTGGTTTTCATAGTGTTTGATAGTGCTTTAAAAAGAAGTTAATAATAATACGTTCCATATCATAAAAAATAGGTTATATGATATCTTTGCCCAAGAAAATATGGAAAAAATAAGATCTTCCGCCAAAGGCATAATTTATTAACATTTGACTGTTAACTTTACGCTGCAGAGCTATTTAAAAAAAAGCATTAAATCTATTTTTCTTAAAACTATTAGCAAATTCCGGATATCCGCACATAATTTAAATATAGAAGTAGTCCGATACAATAAAATAGGACGTAATGAAAGAAAATGAACACTTTGTAGCCTGAACGATATAGAAGATGAATTTCATTTTATTTTAAGCTGCCCTTGTTATAATGAACTGTGTCACCAATTTATCAAACCATACTTTTTATGAAAAACTAATATATTTAAATTGATTCAATTATTAAGTTTCAACTTCAACATCCGAAATACGGAACCTGGTCAAATTTCTCATTTCTGCAGATAAGAAAAGAACCAGTCTATCTCTATTAAATAATAATTAAACATGCCACATTACCTGACCTAACTAGAATGTCCCCCCCCCCTTTGATTTGACTGTTACCTGGTTATTGTTATGGTAATAATCTAGTGTATTTTCCCAGTTTTAAAGTCATTTTAGAAGATCCGAAAGAAAAATAAATTAACGGATGATTTAATGAAGTTTATAATATTTACTGATTCTTTCCGCCATGTTTAGATTAAATTTTTGTATCCTATTTAGTTGAGCAATTTAATAGAATGTATTTACACCCCATCCCCATACTTTTTGTCTGGTTGTACTTAATTGCCATGTATTGTGTGTATGTAATTATATCATGTTTCTATTTACTTGCCATGCATATATTGTTTGTATGCAACTATAATGTTTGTGTATATACATGTATGTTATCTGATGAGTCAGTAGACTTAAAGAAATAAAGAATTGAATTGAATTGAATAATTGATTTTGATATGAGTATATTAAACGATGTTAGACATCATAAACTAATATTATTACAAATGTTAATCCATCGAATAATTTATATTCAGATTTCATATCAAGTCAACTAAATGTTGTATTCATTATGTCTAAAATCATAATGCCAATCAACATACAATACAATGCTACTTTATTACAAAAACATCAGTGAACTAATCTTGGCCCAATCTGATTAAAATACAGATCTATATTGCGTTTCGTTTTTTTATATTTTCGATGGCCTACACTACATGAAGATCGGACCGATTGTACTGGAAGGTCGTGTCACGGTCGTATGACATCAAACATTGATTAATCAATCAGCATTGACGTTTCTAGTGGGTCACCCACAGTTCTGTGCATCGCAAGCCAAGAACTCGCTGTAACAGACCGTTTCATTGGCTAATCCCTCAATTCAACCAAAATGCCTTCCAGATCCTAGTGTAGTAAAGACAAGTAAAACGAAATTTTGAACTATAAAAAACAAAACGAAATTTTGAACTATAAAAAACAAAACGATATAGGATCTCACTTTATTTTAATCAGATTGATCTTGGCCATGATTGGTCAACCATGCTATTTAATTATTGGATAAATGAAACAGTTATAAACAACCGATGATTAAAACTTATTTATTCCATACAATTAACATGTGTACGAGTCAACTATTAGTTGTGGACGTCATACCTAATACCTTGTGGATGACTAAATCAATGGTTGTGGATGATTTACATGTAACTTTGGACGAGTTCCCTGGCACCCTATAGGTTCCATCCCTGGTGAAATCTTGTCAAAAAGGTGTGTGTTTATAATATGGTGATAGTTATCCATAGAACTGTGTTGGGTTATATTGTCTTCAGATGAAATATGCGGATAGAATAATAATAATAAAAAAAATTAAAATGTTAAATCTTACCTTTTTTATTTTTAGGAATACATCATGCTAAAGCGTTGTTTACCACCGATGAAAAATGTCTTGGTGCCATCTGTACTTCGACCATTATTATCACAATCAAGTTGTATTAATGTTAATCAAATCCGGGTAGGTGATACTTGAATCTTGTTAATTGTGGAAGTATTTTATTTGGCCAAACCAATTTGTGTTTTAAAAAATATATAATTTAAAGAATCTATGCATCATTTAGCACTATAGCTGGAATCCCTTGCAAACTACAATATTGTCAAAGTTTAGTCTCAAATGGAATTAAAAGTCCAAAAATGGTTCAAGTCCATTCAGTATTTGCAAAGTTATGATAAATTGAAATTTCATGAATCTATGCTGCACCGCCATCTTTTATTGGTAGCAGAGATATAGTTGATATGTTTAGTTTAAATCTGATTGAATCCAAGCCAAGAGATCATCAAGCATTGGTATTTTAAATAATCAAGTACATAATACATATTTAGCGTGTATTAAGCCATCAAATATTTAATGATTTAGCAGGCCTCAAGCCTTTAAAAACCTATGGGAAGTTGAAAGTGGATAAATATAAGGAAAAATCATATAAAAAAATAACTAGTAATGAAATAGAGATTAAATGGGTTTTGAAAATTAACGGCTTTTCAACTCAAATTAGGTCATTTTAACACTAACATATCTTATATTTTTATTGAATAATTGCACAAGTGTGCATAAGTCTGTCTTAAACTATAGAAATAAACAGGAAAAAAAACATCCAGGTTAAGCAAATGGCTCTAGTACAGGTCAGGTGTGCTACAGAAAGCACTACACTTGGATCAATGATAGACCTAATGATCTATCCTACACACATAGAACCACTCAGCTTTTCTACAGATCATCTTTTTTTAAACCATAATTTATTATTATTTATTAAAGACTACTATAATAATGAAAAGAAAACACCCAGTACAGTTATTTAAAGAGGGCAATTTACCTAGAATTAAAAGAAGAAATGAACTATATGATATAGTGGAGATACAGCATACCAAACCTACACCTGATATTAAATGTATTCTGACAGAGTATGTGGAAGGTGAGCACTGAAATTTCATTGTCTCAAGTTAAACTTTTAACCTCCCTGGAAACACAGCTTTTCTGAGAGCTAGTTTGATTACCAAGAATCAAAATCTAAGTTTCTTTTAAGATTAAAGTCAGAAACATAAACAGTTTTCTGTATCAGAATTTAATTTGACTGTCATATTGAATCCGTGTAAACTGCATCACCTCCAGATTCACAAATTCATATTCGTATACATGTACAAATGTATTTGGATTCCGATTTGAAATCTGAAGATTTTTATTCCAATCTGAATGACAAGATGCTGTTCCTTGATAGGTTCTCCTGTGGCCTCCATTACTGCAAAATCCAGAAGAATTGTCATGGGTCAACACAGGGATCAAAACTGGGACTCCTGGTTAATAATCCAGCAATCACCGATTCACGTATTATGATGTTGTAGTGAAAAAAATTGAGTAATTTGATGTTGTTTCTAAAGGGTTGATAGGATATTTACTGGTTTATAGGTTTTTATTTACTTGAACTCATTAATGAGGTAATATATAGCAATAAAATGAGTATCACCTTGTGCCCATGCTCTGTCACGGGATATTTATTATACACTATATAATTTGTTTTTTCAAGGTGTCGGAGGTAAGGGAGATGTTGTGGAAATTAAAAGGAGTTTGTTTAGAAATCAACTTTATCCCTTAAAGCTAGCTATCTACGCTTCACCAGAAAACCTGGCAGAAAATGAACTTTTAGTAAAGGTATGTTGATTCCAAAGGTAGGGTTAAGTCTGCATAACCACTGGCATCATTACACACATACACATTAATATTTAAACACATAACTCACTTTGCTTGGAAGCCATGGTGCCTCAGTGAGTAAGGCGCTGACTCACTAACCAGGAGGTCCCTAGTTCAATACTGATTTTGGCCGAGAAAGTATCTCAGGGCCTGGCAACAGTCTCTAGTCATTTGGATGTTATGAAAACCCATAGTCCTGTGTACACTACACATTGGTTTGAACCTTAAAGAACGCTTGGCAGTTGATATTTGACGAGTAGGCTGAAACGCTATGGTTTGGGACACAAACAATGGAAATTTAATTTGATTTCTTTTTGTTTTTAGGATATGGCAGCCAGTAATCAGCCAAGATTAACAGCATTTGCTAAAAAGGTTAAATTTTTATAATTAGATAAATTTGAGTAATCATCAAAATAATGGCAATATCATTGAATTAATGCTACCAAGAAAAATTGTCCACGTAAAGTAATGCTTCAAGATTGTCAATCTAACCAGTTGAGTTCCATAGTTAAAGTTACTATTTCATATTTTCTAAGAAAGTCAAAACATAATTATTTTTATGTCTTTTGCTCAATAGGTTGTCAACTCACTATTATACGATCTTTCTCACACTTAAAAATCTTCACACCGGAAATAATAACACAATTACCTCCGAATTACCTCCCTTGTTTTCTATTCCCCACCATGGAATACATGTAGCTATCTTCAAACGTTTGAATTTGAAGTTGAAAATGATATTTTTGCCAATTTCTCAACTGGCAATAGTGAAATATAGGATTAATAGAATTATTCTTTAACAAGGTAGGACTGTTTATAGATACCATCTATTTTACTAATTTTAGGGCTTTATTTTAATACATTTTAAAAATATGAAATTGTAACTTTAATAGGCTCTGAAGAGGGAAGTTAAATTCTATACGTAATGGCTCTAATGAATTATTATATAGCCCTTGCCTTGGGAATTCCCTTTAACCTTTTAAACAGCTTGCCAACCACTGAAATTTTGGTTACCATTTTAGACCAATTACTGTACTGCAGTGATTTTGTTACCTTGGGAAGATCTACTGACTTGTGATGACCAATGTAAATGATTAGACAGTGAGTAATGAGTATTGTAAAAGTATTGTTTCATGTGATTTATTTCAGACAATGAATAAACTAGAAAAATTACATTTACCTATACCTATGAGTGGTGATAATCCATGGACATTAAATAAACAACATGTTAAATTAGCACTGAGAAAAGTTGTAAGTTTTTCTAATTATACTAGACATCTAATTTTTTCTTATTATACTACAAATCAAAGGTTTTCTTATTTACCAGAAATCTTAGGTTTTCCTTATTATACCAGAACTCCTAAGATTTCCTTATTATACAAGAACTCTTAAGATTCCTTATACAAGATATCTTAGGTTTTTATTATACAAGAAATCTTTAAGTTGTTCTTATACTTGAAATCTATGTTTTCCTTATTATTCTAGAAACTAAGTTATTCATATTAAACTTGAAGTCTATTTTCATTGTACATGTATTTGAAATTAAAGTTCTTTTTATACTAGCAATTGAAACAAACGGAAGGTCACAATGTTGTTATAGTGTAACTAATGTGTGGTTTCGATCCCAGTGATGTAGGGGACAAAGAGTAGGGCCGCCTCCTGACCATTGTGGGTTTTCTTCAGTTTCTTTCCCCTACTAAGACGTCTGTGCCCTCTCTCTTGTCATTGCTTAATATGATGTATTAAATATATTTTTAGGGTGTTGAAGTAGAAGAACATTGTATAACTCTACCAGAGGAACCAATTACACAAAAACAGGACTTGCATATTCTTATCAGTGTAAGTAGATTATGTTGTATACAATTAATCTATAAAGGACTTTTATTATTGGGAAATAGTGGCATTAATTAAGGAAGCCGTGGTGGCTCGGCGAGTAAGACATTCCCAGCGTAGTTCCCCCTTGTTGTTAGTGCAGGACAGAGAGCCTGGCAAGGAACAACATATAGTTGTTTGGATGGTATGGAAAACTGAGGTCTCATGTACACATTGGCATGCGCGTAAAAGAACCCTTCAAAGTTGTATATTAGATATTAAAGTAGGCTGTAGTGCCACTTCCTGGGCAATATTTCTCTTATAGCACACTGTATAGCGTATGCCTGTCTTCAATAGACCAGTCGGTGCAAAACAGTAGGATGTTAAACCCCTTTTAATTTCAGCATTAGATAATCACACTCTTGTTAACACATTAATAATCATACAAAGTAAACGTGTAGACGATAACTATAAAAATATCATCGGTTAGGATTAAAAATTTGACTAATTATTCAGTAGAGCCAAAAATATTTCAGAATTATGATATTGTACCAAAATATATCAAAATATAGCAATTCTACTGATTTTCTGAAATATTTCCATAAAAATTAGCCTATGCATTTAATAAATTAATCAGGCCACACATCCAGTTATGGAATAAGGAGTGAAAGCTAGTTTCCATTATAAAAGCAAGCATTTCAAAATCGATTTATCCATTCAGATAGTTGGACAGGAGTGGTAGTAGTGCACATGTCAAGCTGTATCATTTGCCACAATTCATCAACAAATAATCTTTGGTTTGTACAGGACTTAAGCTAAAACAAAGTTTTTAATCACCCAAGACTAAAGTATGGTTTATTTTCTTTATCAGGTTAATAATTTTGAACCTCAAAAAATCGATGCCTATATTCGTATAGTTTACAAAGATCCCTCCAAAAATGATTTAGAAGAACTGCCCCAAATTTGGAGAGAAGATGATCAGTCAGAAAGCTGATATACTTTGAACAGGGCTGATATACTTTGAACAGTGTGTATATAAAGTATAAACAATTTCTTATCGGATGATGTTAGTGGAAGTATGTTCTTAGATTGTGACTGCAGAAAGAATTTAATGTACGGCCATGAATTCAGATGACGATGATAATATGTAGCTACATTCTGAGTTTTATCAAAATGATAAAATAGAAATTTTGTGTCAGGCTTTAAAAGCAAATTGAATTATCCATATAAAGAATTAAGAACTTCAAAATAAATTAATTCTAAAATATTATCATTTACAACCAGTCATGAAGGATTAAGATTTAGAAAGTCAAAAGGTATGATGCAACTGATGTGGGAGATTTTATTGCAGCTATATATCAGGAATTGTCTGTTTCATTAAGGTGACTTAAGATGTTGGCTGAAATTTCACTTATCCGTTCAAATTGGATCTGTTCTACCACTATACATAGTGTGGGCATTGTTTGACCCGTGAATTCACGACAAATTAATTTTCTCTAATAACCTTTGAAGAATGTTCCTCAGCCAAGGCAAGTACAGCTTCTAGTCGTTGTGAAGATATGGAAAAACAAGGTGATTGAGGCTTTAAACCATGTTTTGAAATAAATTATGCCAAAAAAGTAATATAGAATTGGTCTGGATAGGTACATATGCATTTATGTTTAGTATAGATTAAAATCACACGGAACATTTGTTTATTTTTACAATTATTCATAGCACTTGCACACAGGACCTGTGATTTTCTTCCCATCCGAACAACCGTCATTTTATCCCAGCCGGCTTTACACTCAACAAGTTTTTAAAAAAATCCCAAAAGTTCTTTTAGACCAACACCAGAAATTGCACTGCCAACATTTTGTTCTCAAGTATGCTAACAGCCCCCCCCCCCCCCCATTCATATATGAGAGAGAGAAATTGGGGACTAACATTTCGTTCAATTTTACTTCAATAATTCGCCTGCACATAGGGAGTCTTCCACAGTGGGAGGAAACTGAAGGACCCAGACAAACCCACAAGGTTTGCGCAGGCAACACTACTTGTCACATACAAACTGGGAATCAAAACCATGTCAGTTGACTCAATGACAGATCTTATGATCTAAAGTGCACTCATTAGACCATTCGGCCACCCAATCCCCTATTTATATACAAAAAAACCCAAGAAATATTAATGGTTTATTTAACAGTACTATGATAAGATAAGTAGACAAAAGTTCTATAATTTCAATAACCTTTAATGCCCAATATAATTAATATAATTATTGATCTGGGCACATGGCATCAGAAATTTGAATGACTAAAATCCAATGTCAATTAACTTTTCAATATATTTTTGAAGTTGAATCTACATTGACATATTTTTTCAAGCCAATGGCCAGATCACATGAATTTATTGATCAATCAACTTACCCATATTTATATGCAAGGCTGTATATAAGAATGTCTCTGATTGGTTTGTTTGAGTATTGTAACTTAATTTTAAACAAGCCAACAGTGAGGCTGATGTCCCCCGCCGAAATTGCAAAATAAATAGATGACACATATTAATTAATCGCACATTTATTTTTTTCACTAAGTTTCATCACTCTCTATCAGATAGAATCAAGATTATCTTGTCCCAAACCATCGACAAATGAAATCGATTAGCTCTGCTTAGCTTCAGCTCGAAATGTTAATTATTGAACTCAGTCAAGACATTCACCTAATGAACATCTACATATACATCAAGTTTAAACATTCACCTAATAGACACCTATGCCAAGTTTGAACATTCTACCTCAATTAGAAGGAGAGTTATTGTGTTCCAAAGTTTCTACCAATCAATTTTGCTTATCACTCTGCTTACCCTCAGCAAAAAATGTTCATTATCGAACTTAGTTAAGGTATTCATATAATAAATCTATACACCAAGTTTCATCAATCTCACTTAATTAGAACTAAAGTTATCGTGTCCCAAAGCATCAACAAATCAAATTGCTTATCTCGGGTTACCCTAAGCGGAAAATGCTCATCTTCGAACTCCATCAACGCATTGACCTAATAAACACAAACACCAAGTTTGAACATTCTAGCTCAATTAGGAAGAGAGTTATTATGTCCCAAAAAGTGTGACGGACAGACAGACGGACGGACAGACAGACGGACGGACGAACCCATTTTAATAGTCCCCTGCTTTCTTCGAAAGGCGGGGGACAATAAATTATCCAATCAAAATAAATCATGCCCCACACCCCCATTCATCACGAATTTTGAAAAGAAATTGCTCAATGTAGTGTAATAAAAGATAGCCACACAAAATGTGGAATACACCCAGACGCAGCTTATCTGAAAAGAAAACTTGGGTGTTGAGAGCAAATTTGGTAAGGATCTGGTGTCCTTGATGAAATCTAATCTCTAGGGTTCAACGTCCTATGTCCCCATTACTTCCAACTAAATTTTAAAGTTTCCAGCAAAGGGGGGGGGGGGGGGGATAACACTGGAACGGAAGGCTGCAGATTATGAATATCAAAAGGCAACGATTACCCCTAATGCTTCAAGCCAAATATGAAAAAGGTCTGTCTAAAACTACAGCCTCTTTCGCATTCACAAGATATTTCGGCAAAGGGGGGATAACAACAGAACGGAAAGTCTTAGAAAGTTGAATATTGATAGGCTACGTTCACAAGGTTTTTGGCAAAGGGGGAAAACTCTGTAAAGGGAAAGTTGCAAAACGCTGAAAATCGATAAGGTTCGTCCTCTCATTTCCACAAAGCTTCACACCAAATTTAAAAAGAATCTGTCAAAAACAAAGCCTCCATCGTGTTCACAAGTAAATTGTTGCCGGACTGGGTGACGACATAATATGAAATGATTCAGGGTTTGGCAAAAATGCATTGAATGTGAATTTTATTTGCATCATAAAAATTGTGATTTTCAACATTCTCATTCTGTCGATTCGGTGTTTGGCAAAAATGCAATGAATGTGAATTTTATTTGCACTATAAACATTGTGATTTTCAACATTTTAATTCTGCAGAATCTTTTCAAATGAGTTACATACCCCTGTTAGTACAATACTTTGATTTGAAATTTTCAATGCAGAAAGGCTATATATTCATATTTTAGCATTTAAACCTATTTGCATTCAAGGGTGTCCTGTGCAATCTATGATAACATACTAAAGTACAGTATTTGGTTCAACTAAATTAGTTTTACCTTGCAAAATAGTCTGAAACTGGTATTTTAAAAAAAAACCCATTAAAATTATAACTCACAGAGGATATAATATTACGCATCTGTATGTCAGATTCGGTGATGTCAATCGCATCAAACTTGTTTCTTTGCCTGATGTTTTGACTTACTTTATATGGAAGAAAAAAAGTCATCTGCACTCAACTGCTTCTCTTATTTGTCACTTTGAGCTTTATGCACTCCTCTTATTTTGGATAGATTTGTACCTTTCTGTATGTAAATGTTAGTCTCGTTCATCCTGAACTGTCAAATATGAAAAGTCTGGTCTGCAGTTGATCTGGACTGGCCTACAGCCCTGGCTATGGAAAGCAGAATTTTCCAGCTAAAACTGTTTGACAGACCCTGCCTATTCAAACCAGTGAGAATGGATTTTTTTCCTCAGAAACAACTTGCCATACATGTATCAACAGTCAAAATAAATCAACAAATGGTATAAATTTGACTAGATCTAGACGGTAAATCCCATCACTGTGGGAAAGGTAGTCCTTACCATGTTATGATAATGCCCATACTGTACTTTAAAAAACGAAACAAAATAAAACAAAATGAAATAATAATAATATAGAAAAGGACAGTATACAGCTCATTATACATTACAGAATCGACTGGTGTTACGTTTAATATTAACATTTACCTAAAAGGCTAATGCTGTAACACATGACACAGTTATATGTTATACAAGTTACTTGAAAAATTTATTTCTGGCGACATTTCGACAATGGTTCTCCTAGTCTTTATCAAGCAAAAAATGACAATGCTGTGTTTGCTGGATAGCATATACATACATACCTACATGTATCACCAATTAATTCAATACACATTTTGGATTTCTTAATCTTAATAATACATCAGTGGTATGGAAAAATTTAACATCCCTCAAAACTACACAATGTATTTAGATACTGTATTTCAGTCTAACCAGTTGTATTTGTATTTAGGTACTGTATTTCAGTCTTACCAGTTGTATTTAGGTACTGTATTTCAGTCTAACTAGTTGTATTTGGGTACTGTATTTCAGTCTAACTAGCTGTATTTGGATATTGTATTTCAGTCTAACCAATTGTATTTGGGTACCATACTGTAAAATGACTTCTTGCAAAATGACTTCTAATGACAGTAATTTTTAAAGAAAAATCAAAAGCTTAATAGTTTCTTTAAAAACAATTTTAGCAAAGTACATTTATTAAATATTTAGCATCGAACTTCAAAACTAAAAATCAATCTTTTTCTTCTCCACATACATGTAATGCAATTTCAACCTCCTCACATTATTGCAACTTTTATTTTTACAATCACACTTTCTGCAATAATCCACCACAACCGGTATTTCTTTGTCTCTTGCTTCAAATAAATGCCACGTGACATGCATCACACATGTCTACGATATTATAATCCATTTGATATAACGGATCCAGATTATCTCTTTTTGACTTTAAATAAAACTATAATCCATTTCTCATTTATGCCTCATTATCGTGCACAAACAACACTTCTGTTTTGCCCACACCATAGTCTTCAAATGTTGGTGCATTATTTGTTCCATCACGAGGATTGCATGGTAATGTCCTACGTGGAAAGTTTGTCACAATTTGAAAGTCATCTGGACATTCTTCATGGCAAAACACATAATCATGTAAATCCTGAAGGAGAAAAAGATCATCAATAAGATCATAATCAACAAAGCGGGGTTTAAAGTTGCATAAAATTATTTTTTGAGACTAACCTATTGTTTTTTGTTTTTTAAAAACTAATATTTTCTCCAAGTTGTGAATAACAAATATACAGTACCCCAACCAGCAGCATTCTTAAGGATCTATAACTGAAGATAATTTATGAGTAACTCTTAATTTGAAGATAACTAGCTAACGATTGCAGAAAGTCTATAAAAACCTCTTAATTTCAAAAAGATTCCTACCTGGAGCTGAACAATTCCAACAAGTTTGAAAAAAAAAGTCTTGCAACCTCTTTTTTGTACAACATTTACAATTTTGATTGTGAAAGGAGCAATGACTTAGAATTGATATGCGACTTATTGATAAGAGTATTTTTCTTTCGGACTACGCAAAAAAATACCCTGCTTTACAAGAATTGTGGATGGAACGAGTTGTTTACAAATAAATAGGTAACCCACAAACAAAAAAAAAGCAAAACAATATTGTGCAAAAAATATCTAAAAATATTTAACCTGTAATGAATCATCTTTAAGAAATCTGCGTTCAAGTCTAGTACCGCTAGGTATTTTCAACATCAGTCGAACAGAATTAGGATCATCACTACTAGGTTCTGAAGGTAAAGTCTTTCTTAATTCTTCCTTTCTTCTCTCTTTCTCCTAAAATGCACATATTTACATTATCATACAAAATAATAAAAAAATATCTTACACTGTATCTCCTTCTCCTGTCAATTGCATATTTAAATTTGTGTTTTGCCTTGGAAAAAAATGCTAATTGATAGCACTGCCATTAGGAAATGTCTAATCAAAACACTGGACTGACTCCTACCAGTTCTAGATTATTGTTTTAAAAAATGGGAGTTATCTCCCCTATAATGATAGAAATTGACGTCTGCTAGTCCTTCCTTTGTATGAGCATGTCCAAATTGGGTTGTCATCATGACATGATTTCAGGATGTAGGTCTGTTTTGACTAAACACAGAAAAAGAGGGACACAAAAGCAAGAATGTTTGTTGAAGGTCATGTGCTAAGCAAGCAGGATAAAATAACTGTTTGGGAAAGGCAAGTGCTGATTTGTAATGTATGCTTAAATTCAATTTGCTGAATATTGCTGTGTGGATGGTGTTTATTATGCTCTAAAATTTATTTTCCAAAGAACTCTGTTTTTGATGATAGTCCATGGCATTATTTGAGTATATGATTGAGAAGCATTTAGACTGGTTCCCTGGCAAAAATTGCCCCTTCCCTTTGTTATATAAATAATGCTGACATGAAAATGAACACCTCGAAGAAAATTTTACAAATCAAGCATCTTACACTCTTTTCAATGAGGTAGACATCCCATATTCATTTCAAAAAGATATATTGACTATTATAGCCTTTTTGTGCTAACAATATAGAATGCAAACTCACACATAATTTATGACTTGATTGTGTATGACATTCTGATGGTTAAGATTCCATGCATACATGTATGTTGAGAGAAATTTTTTATTCATACCTCTAATTTCCGCTGTCTCTGATGCTCTGCTTCTTGAGCCTCCAATTCCTTTCTTTCTAATTCCTCTCTTTCTTCTCTTTTCTTTCTCTCCTGATAAAAAAATAGAGAAAATAGAATGATTAGTGACAAGTGTCAAGAATAGCCAGGAAATGACAAACCAATTTTTAAGTGATGCAAACTTTTATAACTTGCGAATTTACTGACACAAAAGTTTCAGACCAAGGGAGACCACTGGCTACATGTATTACCACAAAAGTTAGATACCTAGACTGCTAACTATTTTACACCCTTAGCTGTTACATGTATGCAGTTTGTTAAAGTTGAATTCTGTATGAATTAAATAATAAAAAAAAAAACGTCGTTGTTGCTATAATAGTTCGAAAATAGATAATGAAAAATGAATATATTGCAAATTTCGGTCAAATTACTTTATTCTGTGCGAAACTATGAGTTTTGACAAAATGTACCGAAGATTGATTATCATCGTAGCAACGGTACCTGACAATTGAGACTATGTCTATATTTTATAGTTAAAGTCTTAAATGGGCTCAATGCTCTAATCTACTCAAAATTGGAGCCATGTGATGGTATAGAGAGCTGATTATGTGCTTGTCACAATAATAAATGTTTAAATAATAATTTTATAACATTTGAAGCCAGAAAGACCTGCAATAGGCAGATTTAGCACTTACATAATGCATCTTTAATGTGATACAATGATGACAATATTTTAATCTAAGGTTTTTAGTAATCAGATGTAAAATGTAATAAATTCACCTTTTCTTGATCTGCATGTAAAGATTGTAAATAGGCTTCATCTTGTTCTTGACGTAAAGTTTGGTTAAAGTTTCTCTCTTCCCTAAAATAACATAAATCTTAATATTAAATATTTCTTGTACATTATGTATTGTTTAATGGTCGAGAGTGAGACATTAAGTAATATATTGTAACAACATGAGGGCCGTAGGCCCGAATGTTTTTACAATATATTACGCAATGTCGTAAGCTCGAGACCATTAAACATCTTAAAATACTGACACTACGCACGAGCTTTTACGTCACACTAGTCCAATATCTCACTGGTATGAATAAAGTACTATTGGCAAGTTGCCTGTACGATTATTTGAAATAATGGTACGCCAACATCAAAGGGTGACGTCACATCTGTATTTTAATAAATATTAATCAACGGAAAATTGATCAATGATGCCACATATGTTGTTTAAAAGGTGGCATCTTTGGCTAAAATTGTCAAACAATTTTGATAGGATCTCACTTTTAGCTCGATGTAATTGCTAATTTAAATATAAGTACTCTGCTTGAACTATGCCAAGGACATCCGATGTAAAACTTGTTCTTGTGTTTCAGTGCACACTTTTAAAGTACATGCTCTAATTTGGAGTAACACATCCCTGTAGTTTATATTTCCAACACATCCCATAGATGTAAATGAGATTTGATGTTAAAAAAAAAAATAATTACCTATCCGCTCTAGCTACCGCTAATGATGTCTCATTTTCTGACATAATTCTTTCTAAACGCTGTAATAACTCTTCTGGGCCTATTGAAGAAAAACATTTAAGTTAAAGGTATGATTTTTTATTCTTTATAAATGAGAGATTATGAATATTCATATCACATGAATATTAATCACTTCATATCTCAAGAATATTAATCGCTATCTGCACATGTACCACCCCTCTGATGTTTAAAAGAGTCTGTGACTAGCTCTCATCCTGTACATTCAATAAATAGAGGATATTTGTCGTTTTAGAGTGAATAACATATTTATTTCATCGAGAAGCAAGAAAACTTATATTTTCACAAATGCGTAGCATGAGTGAAAATATAAATGTTTTCTTGCTTAGAGATGAAATAAAATATGTTATTTTATGATTTTACAATCATTTTAGGTAAAAACAACATGGACTACTGCTATTCAGTGGAATAACACTTTTATTTCACTGATAAAATGCGGTATTCCACTACTGATCATAAAATAAAAAGTATTATGGTTGTAACTGATATTGTCTAATTCATAAAAACAAATGATAAAGTATTAAATGATGCACAAACATCTGATCAACAGATCACAATTAATAAAGGGTTATTCCTATCATTCTGTGCACAATGTCAGGCACTTAGGAAGGAAAATATTGCTTGGACAGTGACATTTCAACCTTTTTAAACCCCAGGCACTCATTTCATCTGAATAACTATAAGTATAATAAGAACCAAAACCACGGTAGAAAAATTCTGAAGGTTTTTCTCAGTTAAGGTCTAGATTCCAACTTAAGAGGTTCTACATTCTGAATTGTTTATTTTAGAAGTTATATTCCATTCTGTTTTGAAAACAATATCCATACATGGCATGATTTACCTATGGGTCCTTCTATTCTACCAACCACAGCCATTTTATTTTCTCTGAGTACAATAAGAGCTAAGAAAGGATAGGTGTTTTCTCTCAATGCTTGTGAGACTGAAAAATATAATGTAAACATCATCAAGAAAGTGAAGTGGATCTCTCACAATTTAAAATTCTAAAACAAAACCTAAATGTCTGGTTTTAATTTTTGTCTACACAAAGATCTAACTTAGTTCCTTATCAGTGTCCTCTCATCTGACCTAAAATACTGTGATGGGTTAAAATCATTTTTACTCTAAACTGGGTAGACTGAACACAAACTTCTTAAAAAAGCTAAGATTCTAAATGCTAGGAGTCATTCTATAAGTTACAAATTGTCTCTTATTAAAATAAGTTGCAACACCAATACTTACCCCTATAGCCCTCCGGACTATTTGTATTACATGCCCAAAATAATAATCTTGTGTTGAGGAACGTTGTCACTTCAGGATTACATAAGGTTTCTCTGAAATAAAAGAATAAAGACTTCATGAATTTTGTTGTGAAAAGCAATTGCTGTGAACGAATATTTACTTTGAAATTAACTGTAAAACAAAGAATGAGAAGGCAGTGGATATACAATGTAAATACATATTAATTAAAATTATATAGTACTGTTTTTTTCTTCATTTAATCAAACTAAGAGAAATGACAAACCACCGTTTGTGAGAATGTCCCTTATTATTCATATCATCCTAAATATTATTTTATTCTAAAAGTAAAAGTCTATTCCAAATTATTGTTTCCAGTACGGTACTCAAGAGAGAGAAATGGGGTTTAACGTCCACTTGACACAAACAAGGTTATTTTGGGACTAACATGGTTCAATTTTATTTCAATAATTTGCTTGCACGTAGGGGTCTTTAGCAGTGGGAGGAAACCAGAGGACCCAGAGAAAACCCACGAGGCTGGACAGGCGACCCAACTCCTTGTCACGTACAACAGGGGAATCGAAATCACACCAGTTGACTCAATGTCAGAACTTATGATACAGCGCACACGTGCTAACCATTCGGCCATCCCCCCCACGGTACTTGACACATAAATATCAAAATAGAGGGGAAAGGGAGAACAAGAATATTAGAATTATTATGATGTAGCTTCTACACCCTTCATCCTTTCCCCTTTGAATTATAGAAACCATAGAGCTGTTACATACCTACAGAATTCTGGTGTATCCTGATGGCTATCACCTTGAAGATAAACTAACAAAAACTTTAATTCTTTCTTGGCATCATTTAAAGCCTGGAATTAAATAGTTGAAATACAAACACTAACAACTTCTTCCAGAAAGTAAGTTTTGTTTATGCATCATATAACTTATTTTCTACAAATCTTCTCCTTTACGAGAAAGCCAAAACAGATTTTTGTAGAATAATATCTAAAAGATAGGAAGGGAATATCAAGACTATTTGCTACTCTAGTAATATTAATATACTAGCAGATGACCTGGTGCTGTCCAGGTTGTGCCTGTAACCCTGAGCTACTCCTACAGCCAAATTACAGCCTCAGGACAGCCCTAGTGTGGCCGCCAACCCTGAACAGACAAATGAAGATCACAAATATTACTATAGATTGTAAGTATATATATAACTAGTCTGAACTTACTTGACTATAAGTTCCCTGATAAAAGACTGGATGATTAGAACCATATAATTCATTAAAGTTCTGTATAAATCTAGTTACATCACCAATAGGATCGGTTACATCTAAAATATTAACATAAACATAATCATCACAACCTCTTTGAGTTGGGTAAAAAATAAAAGTGTTCATTTAATCAAATCTGATTTGTTGATTTGTACTGAAAAGTGGGTATATGTCTGCAGTTTAAATTTTGGTCCACAGATAGTCTGATTTTAAGCCTGGACATGAGGCACATAACATAACATAAGCCCTAACATAAGGCACCTGTCACAGACTTTTTCAGACACAAATTATTAAGTCGCCCGGGCAGTAACAAGGGTTGGTGCATATTTTTCTTTTTTCAGTAATGTAAACATTTAAAACACACTAAAATCTGATCACGAGAAACAACCCATTAAGTAATTATAAGAAATCATTAGCATTTGTTTTGACTGTTTGTTTCATGACCTTAAACACTGTATAAATTTATATTAACTTTAGCCTCTAGAGCCTTCACAAGGTTTTTCAGAGTGATCAAGGACCATAACAGCAATATATGATCACATTTCAGTGTGGGTGGCAACGACAATATACGCCTACATGAAAATGCAGCGTTTTAAAAACATGATTTTTCGTACAATCACGGGCCATACATAATCCATGAAGTTTCAGTCCGATATGCAAGAATATCAAAAGGATACAAAATCTTTGGGATATAAACATATATTTTAAGTTTCATCTAAATCAATCAAAATTGTGACCTGTAGAGGTCATTTGGTCTGGCAATTTCATTCTGATTTTCACAATATTTGAACTCAATGGTCAATAGGGTGTAACGGTGATATATGTATATTTGAACGGTTTTTAAAATTGTGACCTCTAGAGGGACCACAAGCTAGTAAAAATGTGATTTTTCATATAATCAGGGGCCATAATAAAGGAAGTTATGATCCAATATGTGTGAATATCAACAAGATCTGAGATCTTTGGGTTGTAAACATATATGTTAAGTTTCGTCAAAACCGGATGAAAATTGTGACCTGTAGGATATCAACAAGCTAAAAATGTGATTTTTCATACAATCAGGGACCATAAGTCATGAAGTTACAGTCCGATAAATGCCACTATCGAAAGGAAGCGAGATCTTTGGAGATAACCTATATTTCAAGTTTTGTCAAAATCGGATAAAAATTGTGACCTGTAGAGTGTCCACAAACAAATTGAGGACGGATGGGGGCAACGACAATATGTCCACATGAAAATGTGAGCGTATAAAAAAAGTTTAATATGGCGAACTTGTCCCATATTGCATGATAATAACATTTTACTTACTTCTACGCGGATCTGGGCGTAACAATCTATCTGGAAACAAAAATTTGATAAAATAACTATGAGAATATGATAGAATGAGTACAAACAGTATTTTTCATTGTTTTATTATTACAGATCTCTTTATTTGTACATTATTTCCAACTTGACAAATATCCCCAAATAAGAATGTTTGTATCATTCATTTACAATATTTTACAGATGATGTTATGCTCAAAATGAGTCATTAAGTAACATATTATGCTCAGATTGCATTTAAGAGGATATCAAGTCATAAATAAATAAAAGTTGTTTATACTTACACACAAATAATAATATATCGTAAAAAGTGCTATATACAAATCGGAATGGAAAGAGGATAACAAAATACCCCCACTGTAATATACCCTGGGGCTGTCGACGCCCTACAGTATACACCCTACAAAATAAAATATATTATAATCATTATAAACAAATAGTATATGATTTATGAGTAAAGGATTTGAATCGGTTTTGACAGGAGCAGGACATCTTGTCAGTAAATACAAGTTGGTTGCCTATGTGAACTCCTTACATGAAAAGTTTAGTCATTTAGTCTTTGAGCCTCACTTTATCATGTAAAATTAAACCAGCGGCTGCCAGGCAGGATACGCCCACATTTTCGAGAGATGGATAGAGAACAAGCTAACAAGAAAGTGATTTTTCCTACTATCAAGGGCCATAATTCAGGAAATTACAATTCAATATGCGCAAATATCGAAAGGAACTGAGATCTTTGTGTTATAAACTTACATTTCAAGTTTCAACAAAATCGGATAAAAATTGTGACGTCTATAGGGTCCACAACCTTGATATACTGTATTTTAATGCTATTTGAGAAAGAACGGCGGCCATTTTGTTTGTCAATTTTGAGTTGATTTTCACGAAATTCGAATTCAGTCGTCCTTAGGCTGTAACAGTGATATAATAATACAGTTTTTTTTAAATTGGATAAAAATTATGACCTCTATAGGGTCCAAAAGCTAAAAACGTGATTTTTCGTACAATCAGGGGCCATAATTCAGGAAGTTACGGTGCAATATGCGCGAATATCGAAAGGAACCAAGATCTTTGGGTTATAAACTTACATTTCAAGTTTCAACAAAATCGGATAAAAATTGTGACCTCTATAGGGTCCACAACCTTTATATACAATATTTTTACGCTATTTGAGACCGAACGGCGGCCATTTTGTCTGTCAACTTTGGGCTGATTTTCACGAAATTCAAACTCAGCCATCCTTAGGGTGCAACGGTGATATGATAATATGTTTTTTTAAATCGGATAAAAATGATGACCTCTATAGGATCCACAAGCTAAAAACACGATTTTTCGTACAATCAGGGGCCATAATTCAGGAAGTTACGGTCCGATATGCGCGAATATCGAAAGGAACCAAGATCTTTGGGTTATAAACTTACATTTCGAGTTTCAACAAAATCGGATAGAAATTGTGACCTCTATAGGATCCACAACAGGGCTTCCACTTCAAAATTTTCACTGCTGGTCATTTTTGATAACGCACGAAAACTTTTCAAAGTAAATTTATATTTCTTGTTTTTTATTTATGGTAGGGTATTGTGAATTCACGCGTCTATACTACTTTGTCACCATGGGGTGCACAAAAAAAATATATTTGACTTAAAAATGAAACATTAGTAAGGCTCATGATAATTATTTAATAATTAAATATTCCGTTTTGGCTACTTAAATAACGAAATAGTTGAATTGGCCGGAGAAAAACCATTTCAGTAACTCACACGTAATTAACACGTGCTCTATAGAAAACACACTGACCTGGATAATTTTGAGTTGTAATACAATAACTTTGAAATGAAGATAAATATATAATTTAAATCCATGGCATATATCTCACATATTTTGGGGTTTAGACCATCTCTTACGGAATTACGGGCCGCAGAATTGTGACGTAAATCCTAATAATGTATAACTAAATGACTAACGGATAACTAACTTCACGGCTAGCGACACTAGCGCCCCCTAGAATATGGTTGTGTATAAGAGTAACCGTATATACACGACATTTCTTCTACACGTGGAATTATCAATATTGCTGCACAATAGAACTGGAATACGTATTTTTCTTAATTGTTCGGTAAGCAAGTTAACTAATCTCTAGATTTTATTTCAACAATTTCCACAAGGCCGTGCGGCGTAATACCGCTACAAACATTTTGTTTTAAAATCCATTTTTCTTCCAACACGTACGTTGTTGAGGATTTACGTAATTTTTATGCTGTTTTTATTTGATATGACAGTTGGTTGGATTCGAAGAGCAATACTTCATATCAATTGCCCTTTTTCGAAGATCATAATAACCTCGTTTACATTGTGCCTGACCGTAATAGCAGTCAACGGCTTTGTTGTTGAAAATTCTTATGACACGTGGACAATACGTGAATGATTAACAATGGGCCGCTTCACGCCGTTGATTAGATTCCCACTTATCAATTAACATTTAATGCTCTACTACCAGACACTCATCATTAATTATCAACACAACACTCAGTATAATCTGTTGACGACTATATATACAACTCTATAACACCAATCACGAGATTGGCTTCAAGACGACGTGCATTCTTGTATAGTTACACAGTGAAGGTCGATCGTAGTCATGTTTGATCTATGTCAGATCTAGGAACGGTCATTTTCCATAGCCGTAGGTCTCGACCGGCATATACGGCCGACGTGGAACGCATGGTCCACAACCTTGATATACCATATTTTTACGCTATTTGAGAACGAACGGCGGCCATTTTGTCTGTCAATTTTGGGCTGATTTTCACGAAATTCGAACTCAGCTGTCCTTAGGGTGTAACGGTAATATAATAATGCGTTTTTTTAAATAGGATAAAAATTATGACCTCTAATGGGTCCAAAAGTTAAAAACGCAATTTTTCGTACAATCAGGGGCCATAATTCAGGAAGTTATGGTCCGATATGAGCGAATATCGAAAGGAACCAAGATCTTTGGGTTATAAACTTACATTTCAAGTTTCAACAAAATCGGATAAAAATTGTGACCTCTATAGGGTCCACAAGCTAAAAACGTGATTTTTCGTACAAACAGGGGCCATAATCCATGAAGTTTTCGATCCGATACATGCCAATATCGAAAGCAGCCGAGATCTTTTGGAGATAAACCTATGTTTCAAGTTTCGTCAAAATCGGATAAGAATTGTGACCTCTAGAGTGTCCACAAACAAATTGTGGGCGTATAAAAAGTGTTTTTCCAGGAGCAAGACATCTTGATGTAGATCAAAATAAAGTATTGAACTGGGTTCATCTGATTTGTTGTTTTGATTGGTTATCAGATATGATCAGGAATCGCAAAAAAGATGTCACTAGGAAAGCATCTAATAAGCATAATCACCTTTGACCCCTAGGTTGTAAGTTCATAGTTGGAGGGCGTGGTTCAGGTGTGGGTTGATTAAAAACGGTGGGAGCTCCTTCCCTCTCATTAAAGGTATCTTGTACTGCAGTCTAGAAATGAAATACAAAAAACATCTGTTTTATTGTCAGCATTACATTCAAACACTATACATTTTTGTCTTGTTATTACAATGTTATGGTTGCCAAGGAATTGAAAGTTACAAGTGATTATGATTAGATTATGGTGTAATAAAACAAAATTCAATTTGAAAGAATGTTATTGTTAGTCAAATAATTCTAATACAAAGCTTGTGTGTTAAAATGAGGCATTATCACTTTCAAAATGAGAATATCAAATTCAAATAAACCCAGTTTCCCCTAATTATTGAACATCCATGTACTGACATACTTAAAAGAGTATGGTCAGTTTTCATAAACGCTTGGTAAACTCCTTGAAAACAATTACTAATACTTCTGGAAACATTCTTGTTACAGGACAATAGATGAAACAGTTAAAAAATAAGCTAAGTTTTTAAATTTTTTAAATTCTTTTTATCAAAATCAGCTTTGTGTATCATACCTCTAAATTCCAGCCATGTCTTCCTAATATTTCTCTACATCTTCCCATATTTTCCATTCCAGTTAAATCCTGAAACATACATTAAAAGATAAGTTTGCTTATAGGATGGCAATACTTTTGTATACCATGGTAGTTACTTTCTCAATCAATCTCTTTTGTTCAATGAAATTTGATATTTTCACATCAGTACAGGTCAAGATCAGTCAGTAGTATTGCTGCTACCGGTATTTGTTTGTCACTTCACATGGTTTTTTTTGTAAATTTCTCCAGCCTATGGAATGAAATGTCAATCATGCTGGCAATTCAGTTGCATGAATAACTCTATTAAACTAGGTACTCCTTAATTTAGTCCCTGCATATTGCCAGTCTGTTCAATGAAATCATGATGGAGATTCTGTTGAGTAAATAGATATCCTTGTGTCCTACTTTGTTTGCTGATGTCCACAGAATGGGTTGTTATTTGTCGACAATGTGTGTAACAATGTTAGACTGAGGGCCTGACAAGGACAACTGTCTAGTCGTTCGGATGGGACAAAAAAACAAGGTCCTGTGTACTCATTCGCGAGCACGTAAAAGATCACTTGGCAGTTGGAATTCGATGTAAGAGTAGGCAGTAGCGCCGCTGCCAGGGCAAAATTTCTCTCATAGCACACTGTATGGCTTATATGCCGATCTTCATTAGCCCAGTTTAGGAGCAGTTCGAACAGTAGGACGTTAAACCCCATTTCATTTAATTTCATTTCGTGTAACAATGTAATAATGCCAATGGACAGCATATGTTTTATATTACCAGAGCTGACATCAAGTAAGATGTCGATTTACAAACGAAAAACGCACAATTCAGAAATTGTACGTAACATAAGGCGAGCTCCATTTTAGAAGCATGGTAGCAATAGAAAATAGGAACCAGATTATCGTGACAAAATAATATCAGATGCAATGTCGATATGTAAACTCTGTGGATATTTTCCAACATCGAATCTTCGAGACAGCAGGGTTAGGATTAACAATTTGTGTTCTTACAAAACAAAATAACGAAAATAGAAGAATAGTTATTGTTAAGTCTGCATACTTTCGCATGAAACAGAAATTTAACATGCTGACAATTATTCATGGCGTATAATTTATATAGGTTGTGAGTTTACGTTTTGTTGGGCAATCTGCTGCAAGCTGTAGAACTAGTAGATCCAGTACTAGTATCTAGTCTATGGCCTAGCTTACTATATTATAATTACCATTTTCAAGATTAAGAAATAACAAAAGTGTCTAGGCCTACATGTATCTGCAATATAAAAAGCTCAATCGCTACTTGCAAAAATATGACAAGCATTAAGAAAGAAGCAAAGTAAAGATGTGCTCACACTGCTACTGCTAATATAAATAATAATTATTTGGAAGATGATGAGTCCATATTTCCTACTGTCTGATTCATCGTAAATTTTAAACGGATTTCTTCGATTATTATTATTATTCTTGTTCGATTTATATAGCGCTTCATTACACATGAAGTGTTTCTAAGCACATATCACAAACATTTACTTCAAACACACAGAAAGATTATGAACAAACTACTTAACTTTGGTTATTATAAACTTACCTGTGTGTTTGTAATGAACTCCCTTCGATAAAATCCATTGCACAACTAATTATCACAACGATGAGAACAATTTCTCTCTTGAAAAATTTGAAAACTTACTTGTAATTTCGACAGAGTCGATGTCAACAATGTCTTCGTGACGTATTGGTCGAATCCAATATACCTGTTGCGGGGATTGGTTAACATTGAAAGATAGTTTGACAGCGCGATCATTTTGATCGTATATGGGTTTGGGCGACGAAAAATATCAATTGAAGGCAATTACATAGGAGATTTATATGGAAACCATTGATCGCCAGTCTATCAAATTTTCTTCACAATTAAAATATCACTGATTGCACGGATACTCGTAAAAATAAAGTCATGAATAAACTATAAATATCCTATCTTCTTTATGTTATAAATAATTTAACAAGGATCATGAAGCTTACCTCCGAATTCTCTGAGTGTATTTTTAATTTTATACGCATTCTTTCGATCGAATAATAACCGCTTCAGTAACATCTTTAAGCGTGTTGCGGCAGCCCTCAGCGTGTCTATTGCCGTATTGGGTGCCCGGGTGGGTATATAATGCTACTAAGCCCGTATGACCCCGTAAGAAGCGGAACATTAATTCTCGATTCGACAGTTTTGACCGAAGTGTGATAAAGCCCGTAAAACGAATGTATAGGCCTAGTTGTGTTTGTGCGGCATGCGTGTTCAAAAGTAAATAATCACATCCGAGTCGCTAATCAAATAATTAGAACAAAATATTTCAAAAAGTAAAGCTATAAAATTTGCAGAGATTTTACTAGAATGTAAAAGACGGTAACTAAATACAGGAATGCAGGTAGTTATGTGTGCGAACGCTCAAACTCAATGCCAATTGTCGTAGGTATCCAGACCACTCGGACCAAAGACTACTCGGACTAAGACCAGTCGTACCAAAACAAGACCAGTCGGACCAATTAAATTATATTATAAGGCTAGACAATATGCTATTTATTTATTATTAAATCACAATACAAAGAAGCAAATAATTCTTACACAGAATTCTTATATTTAGAGTTGTTTGGTTCAATTTTGTGTACGTAAATAAATCAACGATTAGTTTTAAAATTAATTAATAATGGTGCCAAAAAAAAATATCAATCTAATTTTTCTTTACTCTACATATACGGGTATACTGTTCTTGTCTGATAGCCTAATTTTACTTTTTCCACATTCGCGGTATCCCCAGTGGTTTCATTCCGTTCTACCCCACTAACCCCTGGGTTACTATATATGGGGGGGGGGGGGGGGTGGAGACACGTTTTCAAGTTATCCGCCCTTGATGCGTTAATATAAACAGCACATAATAATACGAAGACCGGACGTTTATATGCCCCTTTTTAAACGTGACTACAAGTGTGGTTGTCGATATTTTGCGATTTGGAATACAATTATCAATTTATTCAAACAACACGTTATTATTAGTTCGAGTAGTCATATTAAAACACACACAATTATCAATTTATTCAAATAACACTTTATTATTGGTTCGAGTAGTCATATTAAAATAAACACAATTATCAATTTATTAAAATAACACTTTATTATTGGTTCGAGTAATTATATTAAAACAACATTTTATTATTGGTCCGAGTCGTCTTTCTGTTGGGTCCGAATAGTCTTTTTGTATGGTCCGAGTAGTCTATTTGTTTGGGCTGAGTGGTCTATCACTTGGTCCGACTGGTCTTGAACCGAGTGATCTTTGGTCCGAGTGGTCATGGATTCTTGTCGTAATTGTACTTGAATTTCCTATGCTGTCACCCCTAATACGAAATGATATCTTCCGCAGAGTGACGTAACCATCTTCCATATTGGTATTTTTCTCTGGGAAAAGTTTGTGATATTTCAATTTTTCAAGAGAGAACTTGTTTTCATCGTTGTGATAATTAGTTGTGCAATGGATTTTATCGAACGGGAGTTCATTACAAACACACAGGTAAGTTTATAATAACCAACGTTAAGTAGTTTGTTGACAATCGAAGAAATCCGTTTAAAATTTACGATGAATCAGACAGTAGGCCTAATATGTAATTTCGAAATGAATTGCACATTATTTGGAAATATTCTCCAGTTGACTTTACATTGCCGAAGTTATGAAACAATTCAGGATAAAGTTTTAAGTCAGTAATCAAAATATTGGAAAAGTGAAAACTTGACAGTCATATCCTTAAAATATACCTGGAATTGAATTAATTTTTCCGTCTGTTGAGGTGAAATATCTTCTTCGTCGGCCATTTTTCACTGATAGATGATGACAATGTAACTTCCGGTTTGTCGAAGGACAACGTCGTGTTAACATGACTATTTCTATTTGTTAAGGCCAGCTCAATTTTCGTCAAGGTCGCTGAGATGTAAATAAAGTTAGGGCACGTGGTTCTTGGCGAGATTGTAGGTTAGGTTCGGGGGCCTAGTACGTTGACCCGGCTACTTTTGACTTCCACTACTAACCCAAACCCTAACCCTTAGTAGCCAGATCAACGTAGGCCTACTGCGCCGGTTAGGGTAAGCATCGGGGTTTGGGTTGGGATTTAGCGCTAGCTGTTTACATTTCGTGACTTTTGACCAAACTTGAAATTGGCCTTATCAATTAGATCGAACCGTTAACATACACCACTAATGAATTTTGCATATGGTCACAGATCACCAATTACAATGAAGATTTCCCAGTTAATGTTAATTATCGTCTCTTAGACCGACTCTAACTTTTCCCCAAATTTTCGTTGGGTAAAACACGCTCTACCACAGATGGAGCAACATGTGGCAACATCTTACTCAAAAGCACGTATGAGGTTCATCCTGAAAAACTTGAGATACAAAACTGGAAGTAGAATACACTATACATGCAATTTTCTGCCCTACATTTCAACCTCACAACTCATGTAATCCTTCCGCCTCATAATCATGAATATTCACCAAAACTGGCAGAAAATGTATATTCAAACCCTTTTCTTCGATTCTACACCAAAAATTCACCAAAGATCGCCATGCAAAAGGGGGACACGAGGTCAGAGAGAGAGAGAGAGAGAGAGAGGGAGAGAGATATAGACTAAAAATAACTTCGGCCCTTGTTTCGTAGGAATAGGCCTAATTGGCGAACCTGGTCCTATTTATACCACCATACATCGATCGTGTGATTTATGGCGGTATATTAGATTCAAAATTCTAGCGTGCTATCGGGGGGGTTGGATGGCTGAATGGTTAGCGTGCGCGCGCTGTATCATATATGGTCTGTCATTGAGTCGACTGGCGTGGTTTCGAATCCCCGGTTGTACGTGACAAGGAGTAGGGTCGCCTGTCCAACCTCGTGGGTTTTCTCCCGGTCCTCCGGTTTCCTCCCACTGCTAAAGACCCCTACGCGCAAGCGAATTATTGAAATTAAATTAAACCATATGTTAGTCCCGAAATGACCTAGTTTGTGTCGAGTGGACGTTAAACCCCATTTTACCCTCCCCCTCTAGCGTGCTATCGTCTAATTTCAAACTTCTGTTCATGTAATTTTTAACTTCAATTCATGTAATTTCTAAATTCAGTTCATGTAACTTTTAAATTAAGACCATGTATAATCCAACTTCTTTATTTGTTCAGTGTAAATCTTAATTCTATTTCATCTTATTTCTATTATTTAGACGAAAAACGCCTTCTTCATTGATGCTTTACACGTTTAACCACACTGATCCGTAGTGAATATTCGCTTGGCCGCTACAATAAAAGACGGATGTCGCATTAGGTCTGTAAAGCAGATTGACGTTTAACATGAACGAATTTAAAATTTACACTTTTGCCTAGCAGCAAGCATCATTTATATGAAGTCTTTTGGTGTCGCCACATTGGTGATTGAGCACCTGGTCGGGACCATTTTGCTGATATAAAAGACTCGCTCTTCATCTGGCTGAGTGCTGAAATTTAGAGAGAGAGAGGGAAAAATGTGGTTTAACGACCACTCTACACAAACTAGGTCATTTCGGGACAAACATATGGTTCAATTTTGTTTCAATAATTCGCGTAGGGGTCTAGCAGTGGGAGGAGACCGGAGGACCCGGCGAATACCCACGAGGTTGGACAAGCGACCTTACTCACGTACAACCGGGGAATCAATGCTGAAATTGTAAACAACATCGAACGTGATATGGTTGCAAATACTATTTCAAATATAAGCTAAACAACATTTGTTCATTCATTTTTTTTAAAGACAAGTACAGGATTTGGAGAATTTTATTTGATTTTTTGTTTTTACAGTTAAGTCAATTTTAACACTGCGCCAAACCATTCAACCTGACGAAGGGCGAGTCGTTTGTATCAACACAATGGTCCCGATCAGGTGCCAAATTGAGCACAGGGTGGCGACAACAAACGACGTCATAATGATGGTTGCTAGGTAGAAGTATCAATATTCTAAAATTTGATCGACGTTCAGGATTAACATGTTAAGTGACAACAAAGTAGACATTTATTTCGTCTTAATAATAGAAATAAGATGAAACGGAATTAAAATTTACGCTGAACAAATAAAGAAATTGGATTATAAATTGTCTTAATTTAAAAATAACAAGAATAGAAGTTAGACATTACACGAAGAGAAGTTAAATATTACATAATAGAAGTTAGAAATTAGACATAGCATGTTAGAATTTTGAATCTAATATACCGCCATAGTGATTGAATTAAATTGGTGTGATTAGCAAACCTGGGAGGTGGTGGCCAGTTTTACCCAGCAGAATGACCAAGCACATGGTTAGGGTACAAACAGAACAGGTTCAACCTCTACCATATCAAAAAGAGAAACTCTTTGTAATCCGATCCGGTGTGATAGTTTGAGTTGACTCCTGGTATGTGTTTTCTCCTGGGCACTTGCGCATGTCCGAAACTGATGTTTGCCATAATAACGAAACTATATCTACTTCTTGCGGTGCGAGTTGGTTCCTGGTCAGTACAGGAAAAAGTATATCATGTACTTGATTAGAGTTTTGTCATTAATAAACATACTTGTTATCGTGAGCTGTTGTTTTAGTGATGAGTAGTTACACGATCAACGGATCTAAGTTGATTGGCTTGAAATTGATACTTCTATCGTTCGTGATTTGTTGCCGTTGTTTTTTTTTTAGTGGTCAGTCGTTCTTCACACGTACGATCAGTGGAAGCCATACAAATTGATGATTGGCTAGAAATTATCAATTAATTCACCTCCAAAAGAAGATTAAGGCCTTTGATATTTCGTGGCTTCATTTATCACAAATATAAAAGTATGGAATTTCTTATTCCGATTTCTTTAACATAAATATAAATTTATTATACCATCCCATACATTCAAACATGCATGTAGACAGCCCAAATACAAGAGAGAATGTTCGCATTGTGGACGGGTATATATACTAAATACTAATAATAACGATCGTCAATTTGCGTCCTCTCGTGGTGGTAATACTGTAAATATCGGTACATAATAGTCTATATATTGATTTGACCGTAAGAATATCTTAGGGGAAATCCTATCACGAGGAGTCAATGCACACCGCTACTGTAACGGTGTGAGTTGACTCCTACAACTGCGCATGTGCCAAACGGTAATCACACACCAGGAACCATCTGAAACTGCCACAGCGGTTCTTCCCCCCCCCACCCCCTTCATCAAGCTCGCACGCTTATGCACATATTCAATTCAAAATATTTTATTTAGATAGAACAATTTTAAAAGTCACAATCATGTCTCATAATATTCTTTTAAAGACAATGCTAACAAACTATCTATAATATCATCTAGACAAATCGGCCCCGTTTGTCGCAACGCAGGAGCGCCATCACGTAGTGATCTCTAAAACTATTATGGCCACTTCCGCCTTCATTTCTATCGGGTTTGGAGCTCAAAGGACGGCAATAAACTCGCTCTAACTTGACTGAATGAAAAATCTAACATACCTTTCGACTTTGTGAAATAACAATCTATAATTCTAGTGATCTTTTTTTTGAAAATCTTATCGGATTCCTGAGAACAGATGTATTTTCTTCATGATCACCATCAAAACATTGAAGAATCATGTCTCATAATATTCTTTTAAAGACAATGCTAACAAACTATCTATAATATCATCTAGACAAATCGGCCCCGTTTGTCGCGACGCAGGAGCGCCATCACGTAGTGATCTCTAAAACTATTATGGCCACTTCCGCCTTCATTTCTATCGGGTTTGGAGCTCAAAGGACGGCAATAAACTCGCTCTAACTTGACTGAATGAAAAATCTAACATACCTTTCGACTCTGTGGAATAACAATCTATAATTCTAGTGATCTTTTTTTTGAAAATCTTATCGGATTCCTGAGAACAGATGTATTTTCTTCATGATCACCATCAAAACATTGAAGAATCGATTATGTCGTAAATTTTATGTTAATTAGATTGCCATTACTTAGATTTTCCTTTTTCTCACTGTTTTATTGTCGATTTGGGATGATACGAATATTTAGTATATATTAAAGACGTCTCTATTCATTTGACCTCATTTGACGTTTAAATCTTTCATATGTTTGTCTGTTAGTTTTTTTTCTGATGAACGTAGATGGAAATTATTGGGAGTGTTTGCTGTTATGAGTTATATTTTTTCTCTCTTGTTTTTAAAATATGTTTCTAAGTTATTGCCTATTTTAACTTTCTGAAATCATTAGATAAAAGAGTGTAATATTTAGCTTCTATATGTAAGATCACTACTTGAAATTATTTTATCTAATTCTTTCAACGGGGCTCTTGCCCGAATCGTGGAAAAATTCCTTCATTGTTCCAATTCATAAAAAGGGAGATAAGAATGACCCCAACAATTATAGAGGGAAAGCACTAGCTAGCTGTCTAAGCAAATGCTTTTTATCAATTATAAACTTGCTTATAGACTTACAAACTTGCTTGAGGATAATAATGTCATAGATGATGCACAGTGCGGATTTCGTAAAAATCATAGAACTGTTGATAACGTCTTTATTTTAAAACATTGATTAGTAAATGTAAGAAGGAAAAAACTAATTTATTCTTATGATTTGTCGATTTCTCTAAAGCCTTTGATTCAGTTTGAGTTCCCATAAACTAGAAATAGAGAGGGGCCGGTACAAGAACGCGCCCCCCCCCCCCCGATTTGAGACTATGTGCACTCTCTTCCCTCTCTAAAGCAGAAACCGAATTTCACTTTTTAATTGAATGTCCACACTATCAATCTCTTAGGCTAAATATTCTTTCTGCTCAGTAACAACAACTTGGCCATAACATTTGAAAATCTATTTGACCCTCCCCCTTCAGTCTCTGTGAGTGTATGTCATTATGTATATAATGCATTTC